GTGTAGTGCATTAGTTTATTAGTTTTCTTTCAATCCTCACTCCCCACTCAAGAACTGTTCGACTCTGCTGGTGGACCCTGACATCTACCTAAGTTCCAGGGCCCACCTCCACTTAGACAACTACTACTGCAACAATTCAGTTCTTGTAGGGCCAGCATTTCCCGTCCCGCAGCTTTCACCTCAGCAATGATGGATCTGCTCCAGAGTGCTCTACAACTTCCCTGACTTGGCTGTCCTTCCCAGGGGTTCAGTGGCTTGCTTCCTCCCAGAGTAAAGCTTGAGACTTTCATCCTGTCTTTCCCTCTACAACAGACATATTGCAAGCATGTTCCAGATCCTGCCTTGACCAACTGTGGTCCTGGGGCAAATAACACCCATAGGAGATGCCCTTTGTCTCAAGTATTGGCTCTCATGCTCTCCACAGCTCACAGGCTCCTAACAACTTGGCAACCCAAGGATCAAAGGTTTCAGGCTGCACCTGAACTTGAAACATTCCAAAGTTGAGTTTCATGTGTTGTTGCTTCCAATGATAGTGGCAAAAGAGGGACCAGAATTAATTGGGCTAGGGCTAGAGGCTACCTATCAGGGGCTTCCACCTATAGTGGCAAGTAGGGGCTAGAGCTGATGGCTCTTAGCAGGTGCTTCCACTGGTGGTGATGTTTAAAATGGAAGGGAAAGGAGGAGAGAAAAAGAGCACACACACACACACACACACACACACACACACACACACTTAAACTTACTGATGAAGACAGACTCCAGCAGGTAGGTTCCTACAAGCTTCTTCTGTGTCACACATACATACACACATACATACATACATACATACATACATACATCTTAATTCTGGTTCATTCTCCACGTAGTTCCAAGATCTCCTCCCATCTCGGCTCTCCTTTCTCTCCTCGGGCCCTTTTTCCTCCCACTCATTTCCTGCCCTCTGGCTCCTCCCCTATTTCCTGTCCTCTGGCTCCTGCCCTTGCTCAACATTGTGGCTAGTTGCTTTATTTTGTCCTGTTTACACAAAGTTGAGACAGGATGCTTAGAATAAGTATCACAATGCAATATCTGGAGTGAAACCAGAGAGTGGGGTGGGGGAGAAATCAGCATTTGAATGAACAAGGGTAAGGTGTAAACATTTCAAAAGAACATTGTACCAACACCCAAGTTTACAAGTTAGTGGCTTCCATAAAGCTAGGATTTACAGTTTTATCCCTATTAAGTTTGAGCTTTAAAACTTTGAGTTGAAGATTTAACTTTGAGTTGAAGATCTTAGCACATCAAATAAAGCTTTAAAACATAAATAAAGTCCATAGATAAACTGGGAACTTTATACAATATTTACTCTAAACTGTATTTAGACCATAAATACAGTCCATATCAAGACTGAAAACCTAACATTTTTGATCATTTTATAGTGTAGTACTACAGAACATCCCAGGTTTTTTTTTTATGACACAGTTTATCCAAACAGCTGAAACTTAACAAAGTAAAGACAAAGAGGCTAGAAAAATATCTTCAAGTCAGTCACTGTTAACCTGAATAGACCTTAGGAATTTATAAACTTTATTTATCAAATAATTATTATTTATCATACACATATAGCTTTTTCTTTGATTTTTTAATAGCCCTGGTATTGAGCAGTTAGCAAAGACATAAGTAGTTAGACATACATCTAAGTTAGTTTTTTTTAACCTGAGTATATTTTTATAACCTTAGGAATTTATCATCATACGAAAATCCATTACAGTTCAAAATATTTTGGAGACCTCTTGTTGTCTCCTTCATCTACAAGTAGATACAATGATAAACCAAAAGCTCAGTAGGACTAAGAAATTTTATAGATGCTGCCTTAGTTGGTTTATAGGATGGGATAATCTTTAAAGATCACTGGTTCCCAACCTGTGGGTCACAATCCCTTTGGGGGTTGAATGACCCTTTCCCAGAGGTTACCTAAGACCATCAGAAATTTCATATGTTTGCATTATGGCTCATAACAGTAGCAAAATTATGCTTATGAAGTAGTAACCAAAATAATTTTATGGTTGGGGAGTCACCACAACATGAGCAACTGTGTGAAAGGGTCACAGCACTAGGACGGTTGAAATGCACCATGAAGACGGTGGTGAAGGTCATCAGCCAAGATGGATATGAGTCACGTGATTGCTATTTCAAACACCTATTTCTTTGGTAGATCAATTTTTTAAACAGTAGTTGAAACCAAGTTACATATACAGAATATTTTAAACAAAAGTCAATCACATGTATAGAATGTTGTAGCACATTAAGAGAGCAATGTATAGATTTTTTTAGCTATAAGACTTTTGTTATCAGTTTTAAGTTAAATTTCATTACAGATTTTTTTTTAACCATACACAATGAACTTTCAAACCTTGAAATGGTTCACAGCATATTTTTAAAAGATTTTTTGAGGGTATAGAAATTGTAGATATAAAAAAAATTAAGAGAAGAAAGGAAAGGCTTAGCAAGAAGGGACTTCAGGAAGTGCAGAACAGAGAACATTTAGATGTAAAAGATTTGGGGACTGTTTGAGCGGTACCAGAGGTTGTTACCGTAGGGGATAATTGCCATGGAGCTGTACTGAGGCCCAGCCACTTACAGTAAGACCGAGGCCTTAATAAAAGTTGACTCTGGGGAGCAACAAAACAGCACAAACAGAAAGGGTTGTGATGGGGAGCAGACTGGCTCAGAGAAGCTGCAGGACTGCAGGCAGCCCCTAGGGGGAGACAAGAGACAGTTCTAGGGAGGAGCTGAGCACGAGGAAAGTTTTAAAGGATTTTTAAAAACTTGACACAAATTTCATCCCAGATGTCCCCAAGCGGACTGAAAGACTTGTTTGAGAAAAATGTCCTAAATTGCAGAGAAGTGGCATCCCTTTCCACACGGTTGGGAACCCCAGAAGAGCCAGAGGAGCTCCCTGGCACAGAACGCGGCTTTTGTAGTAATGGCAGACAAAGCAGGCAGTTCCGGTGGGACGTTTAAGCAGTGGAGGGGTTGGAAAGAAAAAGAGAGATGACCAAGTGGAGGCAGATGCCCAGGTGGACACAGTAGCTCCTGCAGCAAGAGTCACTTACCAAGTAGCTGAGGAGAGTTGGAGAGCTGGAGCAGGTGGAGAGAAAGCAGCTGAAGAATCAGACTCTAGAGCTAAATATGGTAGGTGACAGCAGTCAGAAGAAACAAATGATCCATACCCTGGGAGAGTTAAGTAAGCAGCTTAATTTGGAGAGGCCCGGTCCTTTGAAAAGGAACTCATTTATGCCACTCCCATGGTTTTGGTAGCAGATGAATGGAAAGTAAAAAAGAAATAGAAAAAAAAAAGAAAAAGTAAGGACACGACTGCTCCAAAGTCTGTTTATCGTAGATAAGAGGGTGAGAACGACCAGAGGTATCTCTGTAAGACCTGGGGTCTCACAGCTCAGGAGTTCAAGATCGCGCCCTTCCCAGAACTCCCCCAGACCAAGACTCATTGTAAAAGCAAGAGGTTTATTAACCATTGCACAATGGGGTCACCCCTGCTGGTCAGCAAAGAGTGGCACCCGGAGACAAAGGCCTTTAGGTTTTTAAAAGAAAAATTGCGGGAGATTTGAAGTTGCAGTCTTGGCAATTTAGGATTGGATGAGGAAGCTATAAAGTAAGATAATTGGTTAGTCTTCGGTGCTCAAGCTTGGCCAGTCCTGCCAAGTGTGGATGCAGCTGCAATTGAAGGTGGGGGTGGTTAGCTCATCCTTGAAGATTAGGGGCTGCGGACTTTTGGCTGCAGGTCAAAAGCTACTCAGAAGAAGTCTGGGTTCGTTGCTAAGAAACACTATCTCAAAGGTCTTTCTTTTTGCTGAGTGAAGGTCATTGCTTGTTCGCCCTTTTTTTTCCTGTCCTCACAGATAGGGTCACATTTTTTCATTCTCTGGAAAGGTACTAAGAGGCTTTAGCTTAACCGGAACCTAAAGCTCACAGCTATAGGCTTTAGAAGACATACAGGTTACACAGTTAGTCTGACCCTTTCATCTGGAAGAGTTTAGACCGAACACGGCCCGCTGACTGAGCCTCGCCTTTGCAGGGGGGGGGGGGGGGGGGGGGGAGGTAAGAGAGAAGAGAGGGGAGCAAGTTGACCAGGAGAGCTCCAGCAGGGGAGCCAGCCCAGAGGGAGGCCGAGAGCCAGGGTCCAAACACCTGCAAACGCAGGAATCAGAAAGGAGGGACCGGGAAGTGAAGACCGAAGGAATCAGAAAGGAGGACCGGGAAGTGAAGACCCGTCCCTGGGAGGTTTCGGGCAGGTAGTGTGCAGTGCTGGGAGGAACAGCAGGTACTGAGACGCCGGAAGAGCTGGCCAAGATCTGCTTTCGTATTTTAGTAAGCACTTCAGTCAGTCATTCGTCCCTAAGTCTTTGAGACTTAGCAATGTGGAGTTGGGTTAAAAAAAAAAAAATACAATTTGAAAGAGTACTGTTGCTGTTTTTTGTCAGGAGTCAATCTCATACTAGGGACATTTTTTTTTTTTTCTGTTTGACTAATTTTTCTGCCATTTAAACTTTATTTTGAAATGTCTTTCCTAAAACAGATCCAGTTTCTTCTGTTTTTGAGTTTCTACTATTTTATGTTTTATATTATAAAATCTAATTATAATTACGTGATTTACCTATCCAAAGCCCGTGCATTTTGATTGGTTGTGATCTTCTGTAATGGTCCCCATCTTTGACAAAGGTAAGTTCCCCTAACAAAGGGTGCGGACTACACTTACCTGTGCGTATTAGGTGAACTGTTAGCATGTATTAGGGAATGTGCTGGCTTAGTCATACAGCAGTGGTCGGTGCTACTCCAACGATTGCTATTCACACACATAAAACAGACCAATTTCCTGTTCCACGTAACAGTGCAGACACTTGGCCGAGAAAGGGTCAACAGAGAAGGAGGCGCCAGAGAGGGTTGTGGTAGCCCCGTGGGCTCATGGGAAATGTAGTGCAGTCGCCTGCAATATGGCGGCGCCCAGGTGAGGGGTCGTGAGAGCACTTGTAGGCTGCGGAGGGGCAGGCTGGCGAGAGACAAAGCAGGCGGGTGGCGAAAGTCGCTGGCGAGGAGAAAGACAGCATCCCTGGCGAGACAGAAGGGTATGGCGCCTTTTATTGGCGGGGTGGAGGATCGCGGCCCGCGGCTCGCGCCTGCCGTCGCTCTGCTCTGTCCGACTGGCGCGCCCACCTAGGCCGCGCGGGGTGCGCTGTGGGCCGGGAAGTCGGGGTGTTGGGGGCCCAGAGAGGGCCCAGGGTTGGTCTGTTTGGCGTGAGATGGGTGCCCAGGGGTGTCTGTGTTAGCTGCCTTTCGGGCTGGAGAACGGCCCTTGCTTCCCGTCGGCGTCAGAGCCGTGAGCTCTTCGCCCACGCATCTGCGCCTTCAAGCGCTGTCTTCGATCAGTGCTGCTTCGCGCGTGGGTGGCGTCAGCCTGGGGTTTGATGGATTTCGCCGAACGTCTGTACCCGGCTCTGTGCCAGCTACCCAGCACTGCAGACGAGTCTTTCTGACCCGACCACATGCAGGTTATTGGGGTGCACCTCTGGTGTTCTGGAAATCGTTGAAGATGGCTGCCAAAATTAGAATTCCGGAGAAGCGGAGTTTAGTAGCTAAGACGGCAAATTTTACTTGGCTTTATTTAAAAATAAATATATTTAATGAGTCGCTACTGGGTATCACATCCTGTTTAAGTACTGAGTGCTACCCGGTGAATATACAATCAAAACCACCACTTCATGTATTCACTTATGGAAGATAATAAACAACGAGTGTAAGAAAAATTACAATGTGTAATTCAGAAAGTTAGAAAAGGGTATGATAAATAGCGGGATAATGTGGGGTTTTTTTGTAATTGCTTAAAGGTTTTTTTCTTTTTTTTTTAAACTTATTTTTAATTTATGTATTTACATCCCGATCGTAGCCCCCTGCCTCCCCTCCTCCCAGTCACACCTTCTCACTCTCTTCCCCCTACCCTTCTCAGAAAAAGGGAGCCCCCACCCCAGCACATCGGGTAGCATAGGCAGTCCCTATGCTATTAGTGGGAAGTCATCAAAAAGCAGGCAGCAGAGTCATAGACAGCACCTGCTCAACCTTCTAGGGAACCCACACGGAGATCCATCAAACTGCCCATCATGTGTAGGGGCCTTGGTCCAGTCCATGTGTGTTCTTTGGTTGGTTCTTTTGTCTCTGTAAGCCTCCAGGGGCCTAGGTTAGTTGACTGCGTTGGTTATCTTGTGGCCCTCTGGTCTCCTCTGGCTCCTTCTGTTGCCCCCCAAACCCCCTCGTCCATAGGATTCTCTGAGCTCTGCCTAGTGCTTGGCCGTGAGTCTCAGCTCTGATTCTATAAGATCAGCTGCTATGTGGGGCCTTTCGGAGGACAGTAATGCAAGGTTCCTGTCTGTAAACATAGCAGAGTATCTTTAATGGTGTCAGAGGTTGGCTCTCCCATGAGGTGGGTCTCAGGTTGGGCCAGGCATTGGTTGGACATTCCCTCTGTCTCTGCCCTATCTTTATCTCTACATATTTTGTAGGCAGGGTAAATTTTGGATCAAAGGTTTTGTAGGTGGATTGGTGTTCCCCTCCCACCACTGTAAGTCCTGCCTGGCTAAAAGGTGTCCTCCTCAGTTTCCGTATCACCTACTGCTAGGAGGCTCAGCTAGAGTTATCCCCATAGCCTTCCTGGTGTCTACTTTGGCCCAGGTCTCCAGCTTGTCTCATAGATGCCCCTTTCCTCTGTTTCTCTTTACTCTTTTCTCTCCAAGCCCTCTTCCCTTCCCCTCCCCACAGTCCCCACATCTGACCCTTGCCCACTTGTTTCCCTCCTCACATCCTGTCCTACATTGTTCCATCTCTTCATCCTCTTCCTCTGTCTATTCCATTTTCCCATCTGAGTGAGATTCAAGGAGGGCCCCCCTTGGGCCGTCCGTGTTGCTTAGCTTCTTTGGGTCTGTGGATTGCAGTATGGTTATCTTTTGATATATGGCTAATTTCAGCTTATAAGTGAGCACATACCATGTGTGTCTTTCTGGGTCTGCATTACCTCGCTCAGGATGATCCTGTCTAACTCCATCCATTTGCCTGCAAATTTCATGGTTTTCTTGTTTTTAGTAACTGAGTAGTATTCCGTAGTGTAAATGTACCACAATTTCTGTATCCATTCTTCAGTTGAGGAACATCTAGGTTGTTTCCAGATTCTGGCTATTATGAATAAAGCTACCATGAACATAGCTGAGCAAATGCCCTTGTTGTATTCTAGAGTGTCTTTTGGGTGTATGCCCAGAAGTGATATATCTGGGTCTTGAGATAGTTTTATTTCCAGTTATCTGAGAAAGTGCCGGATTGATTTCCTAAGTGGTTGTACAAGTTTCCACTCCCACCACCAGCAGTGGAGGAGGGTTCTGCTTTCTTCACATCCTCAACAGCATGTGCTGTCACTTGAATTTTTCATCTAAGTCATTCTGACAGCTGTAAGATGGAATTTCAGAATAATTTTGAGTTGCGTTTCCCTGGTGACTAAGGATGTTGGGCATTTTTCTAAGTGCTTCTCAGCCATTAGCAATTCCTAGGTTGAGAATTCTCTGTTTAGCTCTGTATCCCATTTTTAATTGGATTTTTTGGTTTGTTTGTATTTAATTTCTCTATAGCCCTCTGCTGGATGTAGGATTGGTGAAGATATTTTTCCAATCTGTAGACTGCTGAAGGTTTTCAGTTTCATAAGGTCCCATTTATTAATTGTTGATCTTAGAGCCTATGTTGTTGGTGTTCTGTTTAGGAAGTTGCCACCTGTGCCAATGAGTTCAAGGCTGATACCCACTTACTCTTCTAATAGCCTAGTGTATATAGTTTTGTGTTGAGGTCTTTGATCGACTTAGATTTAAGTTTTGTGCAGGGTGATAAATATGGATCTATTTGCACTTTTCTACTTATAGACCGGCCATTGTATGATTTTGGATTTTTGTCAAAAACCAAGTGTCTGCAGGTATGTGGGTTTATTTCTGGGTCTTTGATAATTCCATTGATCCACCATTCTGTTTCTATGCCAGCACCATGCAATCTTACTCATGTGCTGTTACTGTACATGAGTAAGTGTAGTACAGCTTCAAATGAGGGATGGAGATGCCTCCAGAAGTTCTTTATTATACAGGGTTTATTTATTCTGGGTTTTTGTTTTTCCATATGAAGTTGATATTTGTTCTTTCAAGGTCTGTAAAGAATTGTGTTGATAGTTTGATGGGAATTGCAATGAATCTGTAGATTTCTTTTGGTAAGATGGCCATTTTACTATGTTAATTTTAAATAAATAAGGTAATTTGAATAGTTTATAAATTCAAAAAACATGAATGACGATATTTTCTCACCTATCTCTCTATTTTTCTTTCCTGCCAATTTCTGTCACTGATTTCTCAAATTTTAATAACATTTATATAATCTCAAGTCTTTTTTGATAGGAATTTAGGTTCTTTCTATTGTTTGCTGATAAGTTATACAGAAACATAAGAAAATTCACTTTATCTGTTTTACTTGATAATCTCTTTCTTTTTCTAATATTGTTTTTATTTTATGTGTATATGTATTGTCTGCATGTGTGTCTGTGAACCACCTGCATGCTTGGTGCCCAAGGAAGTCAGAAGGAGTCAGATCTCCTGGAACTGGGGTTATGGATTGTTTGAGCTACCGTGGATGCTAGGACTTGAACCCAGGATTTCTGGCAAAGCAGCCAGTGCTTGTAACCATTGAGCCATCTCTCCAGACATAGCTTTCTGTTTTCTAACTCAGAGATGCACACAGTACAATTGCCACTTTAAGTAGTATCCAACAAGATATATTGAGAATTACCTAGTATAGAATCTTTATATCTTCATACTCTCTTTACTAACAGAGAACATGCTCAGGCTGGAGGTAACTGGACTACTGTCATAGCTAGTATCCTAGAAAATAGTGACCTTACTCCTATCACAAGTAAGGAGCATCCAAGCAATTGTGCAGTGATCTTGATTCCTCTTTTCACATCTGAGTAATCTCTAAGGCCTATTGATCCTGTGTGAACTTTTCTTACATCCTTCTCCTCTCCTTGTTTCCTTTCCTTCTGTGCCTCCAGTGGAAATTAGGTTCACATTTCTGCTTGCCACAGGTGGATTACAGGTCTTCTCATTACTCACTATCCTACATGGTGTTCAACTAACCTGCCTTACCAACTGTACCTCCTAACATGTGCTATGTGTGCTGGGAAATTGAACTGAAGCCATTTTTTTTCTATACATAAATTAAAACTTGTAATTAGACTTTTGACTCTGCCCTATTTGAAATGTAATTTTATCTTACCCAGGCTCCTCCCTCAGAACCAGGCCCCTCCCAGGGAAGACCTGGGTAGGATGATCAATCCTCACTCAGAAAGGCAAATGGGATGGACATCAGAAAAGGGAGAAAACAGGCAACAGGACAGGAGCCTACCACAGAGGGCCTCTGAAAGACTCTATCCAGCATATGCTGAGACTCATAGCCAAACTTTGGGTAGAGTTCAGGAAATCTTATGAAAGAAGGGAGAGATAGAAAGAACTGGAGGGGACAGGAGCTCTACAAGGAGAGCAACAGAACCAAAACATTTGGTCACAGGGGTCTTTTCTGAGACTAATACTCCAACCAAGGACCATACATGGAGATAACCTAGAACCTCTGCACAGATGTAGCCCATGGCAGTTCAGTATCCAAGTGAGTTTCCTTGTAAGGGGAACAGGAACAGTCTCTGACATGAACTCAGGGGCTGGCTCTTTAATCATCTATCCCTGATGTGGGAGCAGCTATACCAGGCCACAGAGGAAGACAGTGCAGCCAGTCCTGATGAGACCTGATAGGCTAGGGTCACAGGGAAGGAAAGAGGACCTCCACTATCAGTGGACTTGGAGAGGAGCATGGGAGGAGATGGGGTAGGGAGGATGGAATTGGGAGGGAATGAAGGAAGGGGCTACTGTAACTTATAAGAAAAATAAATTAAAAAAGAAATATACTTTTATTTAAGTTTATTTTATTTGTTAACTTTGAAGTGTGCAGCATTGGACTAGAGGGTCAGTAAACAGTTGCTCTAAAACATTTATGCCAGCAGGGCATCATAGTGCACATTTGTAATCCCAGCACACAAGGCTGAGGCAGGACAGACATTGTGAGTCTGTGGTCAGCTAGGGCTACATAGTGATAAACTGTCTTAATAAACAAACAAAAAAAAAATGAGTATAAACTAGGCATGTGGGTATACACCCAGATTGGAGGGAAAGGGTAGGAATATCAGAAATTCAAGGTTATCCCCAGCCCTGTCAGAAGTTGGAGGCCAGCCTGAGATACTTGGGACCCTGTTTCAAAACAACAACAATCACAACAATAAAAAACAGGGAAAAAAGAAACCCTCAAATTATGCCTATATTTCATTATTGTTGCTGCTGGACATTTCTGTTTTCCATTTGTTTGTGATTATTTCACTGAATACCTCCTTTTTAAATGACTTCTAATTTGGAATCTTTCTAACCTTTGCAATTAATATTGGTTTTGTATTTTGGTCTCTAGTTATGCCACAAGCAACAGAAATAGCAGTTAATTATATGGAATATGCTATATTTTTTCATTGTTGCACATGTGTTTGTTTTGCTCAACTAACCGTTCTAAGTTCACACAAAGCCATACAGTGTATTACAGTTGTATGGCCAGTTCACGGAGGCCATCATAGGCATATGTACTCACTCTCTTGACATTTATCTATTCTTTTCACATGTTTCTTGGGCATGTAGTGTGTTCTGGCACTCCCACTCTCCCAGAATTTGCAGGTTATAAGCTAACAGATGCATAATCATGGATTGTGTTAAGTTCTGAAGTATTTTACTATTTTTTCATTTGTCTTCACTTTCCTAGGCTTTTGAAAAGGAAAGTAAGTTGTTCTTGTTTTTGTTTTTGTTTTTTTTTTTTTTTTTCACAACACGGAAATATTTGTAAACTATAGAATATATGAATAATTGTTCCTTCAGGGCTTTTAAGATTTATACTTTTTCTTCACAGTGTTACTATGAACATCAATCATAAAGGTGTTTTGAAACTCAATAAAATGGAGAAGAAGTTCTTGCGGAAACAGAGTAAAGCCAGGCATGTGTTGCTGAAGCATGAAGGCATCCAGGCTGTATCACATCCCACCCAGGTGACCTTAAAGTGCTGTTGTCCTTTGAATGTAGCTGCATCAATATGTTAAAGTATCGTGATAATACTGTCAAATATGGCTTAAAGCTGTAGTTGTTCAGTGGTGTGTTTCGCCCATAATCAATATACATGTAGTAGCATGTGCTGCCTTTGTGTGGTAGCCTAGTCTATAGCTTGGTTTCCTTCCTTCCTTCCTTCCTCCCTCCCTCCCTCCCTCCCTCCCTCCCTTCCTTCCTTCCTTCCTTTGTTAGTGTGGGTTAAACTAGAGCAGTGGTTTTCAACCTGTGGGTCACAGCCATCGGAAAACATATTTCTGACGGCCTTAGGAACCCCCAACCCTGAATTTATTTTTGCTGCTACTGCATAATTGTAAATCTACTCCTGAATGGTGTTTCAGTTCCTAAGACCATCAGAAGTGTGTGTTTTCCAGTGGTCATGACAAACAGTTTGAGAACTGCTGAACTAGAGCGTGCTGCAGGTATACATTAATAATAATGTTGTACAAGTCTTTTTAGTTGATAAAGCAAATTTAACATTCATTATTATCTTTAATTCTTTAAAAGTTCCTATGAGTTGGATGGGAAAACTATTATCTTGAGAGATTAATTTCCTCTAGTGTAAACTAGTAAGTGGTTGAATAGAAACCTAAAGGTCGATCTTCTATACCCTGATATCATCTTTCTTCTTTTCTTACCTTCCTTATGTTACAAAGTATTTTGATTATATGATATAAAATATTTTCATTAGTTCTTTTTTACAAAAACTTTTCACTTCCTGTTGACAGTAATTAAGTGAGATGATATGAGCTACTGTGAGGTTTCCTGAACTTTAAATTACAGCTCATTTTAATCCCTCACTGCATTCCATATTTAGATATGAGCATTAGTTTTAACCTCGGCTTTTATTTCTAAGCTGGGCATAATAAGGCATACCTAGAGCTTTTGGACTCTCAAGGCTAAGTCTGCTGTCTTTTACTAACTAATGAAGCGACTAATAGCTCTAAGTAGCCTCTGATCACTGGGAACAGCAAGGTATGCGTGGACAGGTGGAATTCAGCCATGGCTTTTGTTTTTCCTGAGAAAGGAAGTTGAGTTGATTACTATATTAGTTACTTCTATTATCACTACAGTAGAATATCTGACAGAGCAAGGAGGAAGGATTTATTTATTTATTTTTGCTTACAATTTTGAAACTACAGTTTATAATAACAGAAAATGGCATGATTGCAATACTGGCTCTGTCCTTCCACCGTCCTCCCCAAAGGATGTTCTATCACAACCATACCCACTTCTGATAGCAACTTGTCTTATTTAGGGCTGCTGTTGCTGCAACAAAACACTATGACCAAAAAGCAAGCTGGGAAGGAAAGGGTTTGTTTATTCAGCTTATATTTTCATAGCACTGTTCATCACTGAAGTCAAGACAGGAACTCAAACAGGGAAGGATCCTGGAGACAGGAGCTGATGCAGAGGCCATGGAGGGGTGCTGCTTACTGGATTGCTTCACCTTACTCGCTCAACCTCCTTTCTTATAGGACCGAGGACCACCAGCCAGGAATGGCACCACCCACAATGGGCTGGGCCCTCCCCCGTTGATCACCAATTGCAAAAATGCCTTACAGCTAGAGGCATTGCCTCAACTGAGGTTCCTTCCTCTCTGATGACTTTAGCTTGTGTCAAGTTGACACAAACCAGCCAGTACCATGGTATTCTTAATCATGTTGTATGAGAATGTGCATGAGAATAGGAAAAGGTACTTTGTTTCCTTTGTGTCTCTTACTCAGATTTAGGGAAAAATGGAAATGTTTTTGTAATGGTGGTCAAATATAATCAAATTGTTATGGCATTTTATTAAAAATACGGTATTGAATGAGGTCCATGGTGAAGCCATCTGAGAATAAATTTTATGCTGTTCAATGAAGTATTGAATTTATTATGATATAACTATATCCTTATACTTGTGTGTAAAATGGAGTTGGCTGCTCTCTATGGAAGACTTTTCTTTCTTGTTATCCAATTTAATAATAATTCTATTGTACCTTCCTAAAGGAAGGTTATAGATATCTTCATTTTGTGTAATAAAGTGAACAGTGATTTACTAATCTTAAACTTAATATAACTCAAGGAGCCAGTAAACTATTATACTGAGAACAAATGTGTCTTGTGAGCTGAGAATGGTTTTCAGATTTTAAATAAATAAATTAAACTGTTAAATAAATTAAACTGAGGTTGTGTTACAGAAACTAATATGACCTATATAACCTTGGAGTACTGTTTTAAGAACATTTTCAACTTGGTATAAATGATGACGTTGATAAGAGGACACCATCCCAGTGGGCAGTGGTGGCACATACCTTTAATCCAAGCACTTGAGGGGCAGAGGCAGACAAATGTCTGTCTGTGAGTTTGAGATTAGCCTGGTCTACAGAGCCAGTTCCAGGACAGCCAAGGCTACACAAAGAAACCCTGTCTTGAAACACCTCCCCACCCCATTGTACAGCATTCCATCTGCGGCTTCTTCTTTTTTTTTGTAATGATTTTACATGTAATAGGTTAGGTCAGTGAGATGGCTCAGTAGATAAAAGTCTGAGATCTATCCTTGGACTTTACATCGTGAAAGGAAAGAAATATTTCCAGAAATTTTTTCTTTAACCTTCACATGGGTACTGTGGTACACGCACTTCTGCACAGACACAAGATTTAGAAATAATTGGTGATAAATTGCATTAGCATTCTTTAACACCATGTAGGGGTTTTTTAAGTATTGGTAACTATTATAGTACTAACCATAATTATCAAAGTAAGATAGGACTCTCTCTTTCACCGCAGTCTATAAAGTAATAGGAAGTAAGCTTGCAACTTATAAAGGAAAAAGTTTGCTTGCAATATGGCTAAATTATTTTGACCGAATTAATTTCCTTAATAAGGAAGCTTTATGTTTTGTAAACCTGCAATTAATTTTTTTGATCCAGTTCCTTGATTGTAACTTTGGTAAACATGGCAAATGGTTATAGACAAAGTACGGTTCCAGAAGACTAACAGCAAAGGAATTTACACGTCGCTCCCTAGTCCCTCTGGTGAATAGCTCCCTGCTCTGTAAAGTGGGGTTCACATTACCAAAATAAGCTTACTTTGTTTTGAAGATTATGCTAATTGATTAAATAGGTAAAAGAACGTACAGCATTCAAAGTATCAAGGTGATTGCTGACCTCATGCTTCTCTCTATTCTTCATTCCTTTTTCTTTATGTTAAGTTAGGTTTCTGAACAGTAGGACATTATCTTTTAACTTAAAGTTTTAGTTATGAAGAAATGAATATATCACCCATACAACTATTTATATATAAATGTTTACAGCATAGGAATACTTCCCCCCAAAAATATTTAGTAATTTAGCAAATTAGTTTATATACTTTGTTTGAAGCTAGCAAACCAAATAACCAAAGAAAAGGAATCTATTTTAAATTGCATTATTCTAAAATAATAATATGCTTTCATTTTATTTTCAAATAAATAGGTTATTTATTCTTTTTTTTTTTTCTTTGCTTCTTTTAAGAGCCTGGTTGTTGCTAATGGTGGTCTAGGTAATGGTGTGAGTAGGAAGCAACTGCTTCTGGCTTTAGAGAAGTATGGACCTGTGGAAGCTCTCCTAATGCCACCTAATAAGCCCTATGCATTCGTGACATACGGAAGTATTGAAGAATCCAAGGAAGCCTATGCTGCCCTAAATGGAAAAGAAATCATTGATGACTTAGGGCAGAAGATCTTTCTGTACTTGAATTTTGTTGAAAAAGGTACCTCGATGTTAGCTTCCTTCAATTTACTTTATGTGTGAGTTTTCTTCTTACTGAGTCTGTATCAATTGTTCTTTGTGTGTAGGAGGGTGGTGGTGTGTGTGTGCGTGCACATACATGTGCTGATGTGCTTGCGTGTGCTGTGCCTGGGGAGGTCAAAAGTTTATGTGGGAATAGAGGAGCCTCTTCACTGCTGGTAGGAATATGGACAACAACTTGAAGTAGAATTCGGTGATGATAAGGTTTCTGTTCTCATTATGTACTGTCTTACTTTTTTTTTCTTTACGGCAGTTTCTACAGTAAATATTATGAAGCCTTATCTTGTAGTAAGCTTTAGAAAGCAACTCAGTTATGTACAGGGAAGACTCTGCTGAGGAGAACTGTAGAGCCTAAAGTGCTGTACAGCTCTGATCTTCATCTTTGTTTTTACATTTGTGGGGCCTTTTGGCATCCTTACTTCTGAAAATGACAATTAACAGCCTTTCAAACTGGAGCAGAATCTTTGTACTACAGGAGTTCAGGTTTTGTTCATGACTATCTTAATTTGTTTTCCTATAGCACAATGGAAAAAGCTGGGGCTTCAAGCCTTACCTCCAGGCCTGTTGGTGGTGGAAGAAATTATTTCTTCTGAGGATGAGAAAATGCTTTTGGAAAGTGTTAAATGGACAGGTGACACAAGCAATCAGAATTGTAAGTAAAATGTCCAAGGTCTGTAAATTAGATTGTTAGAAAATATCCTGTTCCTGCTCTTGATTCTGTTGTACACTGTAGCTTTACTGGCATTCCCCTATTTCTGCAAGATCACTGAAAGTAGTTTGGACCTAGTTGTAGGCAAGTTATACTGACAGTTTTTAGAAACAGTATTATTTATTACATTTGTATAGCGACCAGTTCTAAACTTCAGAGGAATAGCTTTTATTAGCCCTTCCACAGTTTGAAATATCTCAGCAGGTTATTCTTCAGTGACAAGTTCCTGAGGGGTTTGACCAGAGCATCAGAAATAATAAAGACAGGAAAGTTTGGGTCAGGAGGTCTTGCACAGGTTATGACTTATGCCAGGCAAGCTTATTAAGAAGTACAGCATCTTACATAGAGTTTACATGGGGAGATGGAACAGAGGAATCACAAAGTTAATCAAGCAGTATTGCACAAAAGAACACAGGGTATCCCACTGTGGTCAAGTGCTCAGAAACCCTGGGACTGATAACTACATCTCTTCAAGGGAGAAACGTCAGATTCCCAAGAACTGAAACCTTGTCTCCTTCACGGCCCTGGCCCAGGCCCCAGACTGGACCTTGTCACGTCTCCTTCTAGGCAAGGACACAGAGCTAATGTTCCTTTAATCCTTCAATCAAATCGGGCCTCTGAGAAAGCTGTAGATCACCCTAGTTCCCAACATCCAAGTTCTCAGTAGCACAGGATATCCCATAAGGATGAAGCTGCTCTGCCTCTTTTCAGATCATTAGCAGCTCTGGGAGTGGCAGTATATATACACATTTCTCTACTATTAATAGGTGAAACTAAGTGTTTTAAATACAACAATATTTATGATATAAACAAAATGGCTTGTTATTAAAACACTCATTTAGCAGTTAACAGAAGTTGCCATTACCTAATGTCTCCTCATAACGTTAAGTGAAATATGAAAGGTAGTCATTCTTTCAAAAAGTTTATTTTCTTTATACAGTTCAAAAGTCCTTAAAATACAGAAGAGTGAAGCATTTTGGTTATGAGTTTCATTATGAGAACAACACTGTGGATAAGGATAAGCCCTTACCTGGGGGTAAGTCCATATTAATGCACAGTCAATGCTGGCTTGGAAGGAAAGATGTGATACATTAAAGTCTGTTTCAGTTGAGGTTCCTGGCATATGTAGGTGAACTTTCAAGATGACTTGCTAAATTTGGAGCATTTTCATTTAGTAAGTGGCCCTATTTTATTGTAAAAGTTCAAACATACAGATGAAGTTGAAGTTCCTGTTTACTTTCACCCTCCATCTCTACTTCTTCCTGTTATAATTATGTGCTTTTATCAGTTTAGCACACATTCCTGCTCTTCATTTTTTTAAGAAGCGAGTTCATATCCAGCTGTGTAAGAGCGCTGTTCCATTATCCATTATACAGCAAGTGCCACTTCTACATGCAGTTTTTCTCTACGTTGTACCGTGGAGATCTTAAGTCATTATTCCTTTTACAGGTGCCCGGGTAGTTACCTACCTTAGACATTAGGGTTATTTCTAGTTTTTAGCGCTCACAAATAGCAATTTAGTGAATGTCTTGTGCGTGCCTCTTCATATGCTATGCAAGAGCTTGCTCAGCAGGCCTGCAAAGACGTGGAATTATTTCTTTTAGAGTGTAGGTTCGTCTAGCAGACAGACAGTGCTTCAAGTAGCTGGGCCAGGGCCTTCTGACACACGCCCTTCCAACATGCTGTACAGCTTTTCAGTGCACACTTTTCTATTCAGTAATTCAGTTGGCCACTTGTGTCCCTTTTCTATCTTTTTGTAACTTTTACTGGTTGTTGTTTTTTTATTGGGTTATAAAACTGATTAAATTATACTGGCAGTAATCATCTATTAGATTATATTTTATTTATTTATTTCTCTGTGTGTGTGTGTGTCTAAGAGAAGGAAAGGAGAGCCTTCAGCATTGTTCTTCCAGAGCTGCCATCTTATTTTGAGACAGGATGTCACTGGCCTTGAGCTCACCAAACAAACCAGTTTGGTTGTCCAGTTAACCTCAGTGATCTGTCTGCTTTTGCCTACATATATTTTACAACTGTGTGTTCTCATGCCCAGCTCTTTTCTGGGGTGTCTAATAGGTTCTTCGTGGATTGAACCATCTCCCAAATCTTAAGAGTTATTTTTTATGACCTTGATCATATTTAAGGCTTTCATTCATGGTGAAATAGCATTTATGACTCTATAATAGTTTTGCTTTAAAAGATATTTTTTTAAATGGTAATAATTTAAAATCTTTGAGGTAAATAAAATACTTTAAAAATTTTACAAAGTATTCAATTTAATTTAACATACAATCTACAGGTTGAGCCTCCCTAATGTGAAAATCCAAAATTCAGATTTCTCCAAAATCTAAAGGTGTTTGAGAGCTGACATGATGCTACCAGTGGAAAATGTCCACATTTAAACTCATGTGAGGGGCATAGTCAAAACACAAGTATACCAAAAATAAGATGTAAAACTGCCCTCAGCCTGTGGTATAGGGTATAAGTGAAACATTGGCATAAGGGCAATTCAATTTATATTGTTTTATTATCATTTTATAAATTGTAAAAGTTATTATTAGTAAGATTATTATTTTGTGCCTTTTTGGTAGAATCAATGGTATAATAACTTTAAAGGATTTTTACAAGTCTATTTTTTAATTTGGTTTTCCTGTGGATTTATTATCTTTGTTTTTGATTGCAGCACTATAAAAACTCTGATCACTATCATAGTGTTACTCTTTTTTTATTCTTGGTTAAACATGCAGATATTTGAGTGTGTTTTGCTTTTCTGATTGCCAACTTTAGGTCTTCCTGATATTTGCAATAGCATTTTGGAGAAATGGTTGAAAGAAGGTTACATTAAGCATAAACCAGATCAGTTGACCATAAATCAGTATGAGCCTGGACATGGTAGGTGTTTCTTTTATAAAAACATTTCTTTGGCTTTAGATCATTTATTTTCTTTTATGTATGTGAGTGTTTTGGCCACATGCACATTTGTGAATCACATGTGTCTGTAATGCCCTTGGAGGTCAGAAGAGAGCATCCTGTTCTGTGGAGCTGGAGTTTTGTGTGGCTGTGAGCGGCTGTGTAGGTCCTCTGAAAGAAGAGCAGCTGTTCTTCACCACACAGCCCTGTCTCCAGCCACAGCTGTTTCTTCTTTAAAATCCCAGTTGTGTATTTCTGAATTCAGAAGTGTGTGGGCTGGCTGTGGTGGCTCACACCTGTGATCCCAGCACTCCGGGAGGCAGAGGCAGGCAGATCTCTGTGAGTTTGAGACCAGGCTGGTCTACAAAGTGAATCCAGGACAGCCAGTGCTGCACAGAGAAACCCTGTCTTGAAAAACAAACAAAGGAGCAAACAAAAAAACCAAAAATTTTTTAGATCAAAAGTTAAAATTCAGTGGTTTTTGTTTTATTTTAGCTGAAACTCATTTTAGGCTGCCTTGCCTGTATTCAGTATCTGTATTGCTTCTTATCACTTGCAGGCTGTACCTCCATTCCTTTGAGGAACTTCCGTTATAAAACATAATTAAATGTTTAAATTGCTGCTTGTGGTTTTTGCTTGTTTTTGTTCCTCTCTCAACATGTTAGAGATGGAGTTAGTAGCTTGGAAAACAAACAAACAAAAAATGTATGATGGAACAAGCATTAATTCACAGACAGGAAGAAGTCTAACTGCTGGGAGGATTTCTCTCTTCTGTTTTAGAATGTGGAAGATAATTCTGGGAGTATGTGCCAGTGAAAACATTTCATATAGATTTGCTGCCTTTATTAATATCGTCTTCATCTAATGTTTGTAGTACTTAAGTACTTATTTTTAGGGTTTTAGTTTTGGCAGTAGCAGGAACTTTCCCCCTGCTTTTCTCATGCTTTGCTTTATTTTATTTTTTGTTGTTTTATTGTGGTGCTGAGTATTAACCTAGGGGCCTAGTACCTGCTAATCACAAGCCCCGTCCCTGAGCTACATTCCCAGATCCCAAGGCTAAGTCTTAGTCTGTAGCCAGACTGACTCAAACTGGACCTCCGCCTGCCCCAGTTCCCAGTGCTAGAGGGTTGCAGGTGTCTGCTGCCAGGCTCATAGTGTAAGTACTTGAACAGCATGGTTTCCTGTCTAGCTTTTCATTGGTCTGGACATCCCTGAGGAGGATGTATCTTTCTTCTTTGTATCTTTTCTCTGTGTTGCAGTTTCTTTACCGAGGGCAGCTCATATACTAGACTGATGAACGAAAGAAGCTGTGTCTTAATTACCGATACTGTCTTAATTACCGATACACTTAGTCTTTATACATGCCCTCTGCTCTCCAAGTCCTTGAGAGTCCTAGTGCTTGGTGGGGAGGGCAGGATAGTGTTTGTCTTCCACATTTGTCCTCTTGTGCTGTGATGGAAAGTGTCCTATTAAGCAGTGACTGCTGAGTCTTGATTTTATAGTCAAGTCTTACTGTCATTTTATCTTGAAGCTGAGATATTCTGTTTCAGATTTAGTTTAAATTTGCTGAGTCATATTTATTGTTTGCCTTTAACTAAGATTGTAGAACCTTTTTAAGAACCAAACAACCTTTTCATTGTACTTATGGGAAAGCTACATGTGTGTATAGTCTAAATCTACAATGGGCAATTAAGTGATGTTGTCGTGTTTTCTGTCTCAGGAATTCCTGCCCATATTGACACACATTCTGCATTTGAGGATGAAATTATTTCTCTCAGTTTGGGGTCAGCGGTAAGTGCAGCCCTGAAGCATTTTTTAAATCAGCTTTTATAATTTTTTTTTTAAACCTTGTACATTGCCCCTCCCACTTCATGGAACTAAATATTCTAATTAAAAGAAATTAAGATGTTTAAATGGAGAGGGCATTATTAACTCTTTAAGTTCTTCTAGAGTGAGTTTTTATAGGCTCTCTTTTCAGATGTGTGAAGTTTTACTTTATAGCTTATCAGATGCCAGGAAAAAAAGTATACTTCTATTTTTCACATTAGTGGTTAGGTAAAATACAGATTTTTCTCTGGTACATTTTAGCCAACTTTTGACCTACCTTTGCAACATTGACTCCTGGTGGCAAAATATAATAGTGGCAAAAGAAAATAGAGTAATGACAGACCTGAAATACACATGCCTGGAAATTCTAGTCATTCATTCTATTCATTCATTCATTCATTCATTCATTCGTTTGTTGCTGCTGTTTAGACATAGTCTCTTTGACCTTGAGCTTCCTAGGTAGAATAGGCTGCTCTGGAACTCACAAAGATCCATCTGTCTCTGCTACCTGAGTGCTAGGAGTGGAGGTATGTGCCACCACACTTAGCCACATGGGAGTGCTTTTTATTTAGGTAACTTGAGTCAGACCTTTCAGAAACTTAGCAAAGGATCATTTCTGCTCTTCCGGGTGAAGAAGAAGCCCATGTTCAGTCAGTGTTTAGTTTCTGTAGTTGCACTTTGCTTGAGCAGCTAAATATGCAGAACCATTATTTAAAATGGTGAATGTAAGCCCCTCAAGGTACGAGTGCCCAAGCCCCATTGCAGACTACTCTGACAGCCAGCTCCAGCTCCTTGAGACATATGAGTGGCCAGGCCCAAATCCCAGACTGTTCTAATGCTTTTCATGGCCATTTCTAGCCCTTGGAGATGAAGATGGCCAGGCTCTGCCCTATAGAAAAAAAATACAAGGTCAGGCCACCAAATCCCATCAATCCCTGAGATTGCCCCAGTATAAGGGCATAGAATACCACCAATCCATGCATTTGCTCCAGATCAGGCCACAGAATCCCAGCAGTCCTTGAGCCTGCCCAAGGTCATTCCACAAAATCCCAACAATCCCAGACCATCCTGGAAAGCTCTGTCCTCACCAAGAAGCTGTCTTTAAAGCCTGCTTCCTGCTCTGTTCTTTGCTCCTTCCTTTCTGAGCAGAGGCAGCCATCCTCTTGTGTCTTTCCCAATAAATATCTTGTATGAGGTTTGTTGTGGGGTATGACTTTGTGATAGTCCTTGGCTCCCAACTGCCTGGGTACCTTTTCCCTCATAGCTGTAACATTTACTGTATTAACAGAAAATTACAAATGGATGTTCAGACAGAAAAAAAAAAAAAAAAAAACCCTAAATCCAGGATAATTCTTGAAATATTGAGATCATCTGATCTAAATAGAGGTTTCTTGAAAATCTGATGTCATTCCTAGAAGCAAATACTATTTGTCTCTCCCCTTCCTCTCCCGCTCCTTTGCTCCTCCTCCTTTTGTCTCTCTTCCCCTATATATAGTTCCCATCTCTATAGTCTAAGTGCTTTGGCTTCTTAACCTTTGCTGTATTCTAGTGATCATTTTGATGCTGTGTTTAAAGAACTAGTAATGTTTATTTGATACAGTAAAACCATCAGTTACATATGTGGATTCTTGGTATGGAAGGCTTCAGAAATAATGAGCATGGGAGAAAAACAAGAGTTGTTCCATGTTGCTGATCCTTGCTTGTAGTTTTAGAAGTCCAGTGAGTAACATCCTTGAATTTTCTTTCCAAAGTTGAGAAATTTGAAAGCAGACAAGTGGAGATCAGTCTGTTTTCAACTTTATACTGAGAAAAATGGTGGTAGACCTCACTATACATCTATGGCCAAGTGGACATTTCACTTTTTACCTTTGAGTTACAGAAACACTGTCCTTGTTCCCAGCCCAGACTCTGCTTAGAGGAAGAGGCGAACTGTAACATTGGACCAAAAGTATCATATTAGATCCTACAAACTGGCTGGTTCTGAAAAAGATTGAAGAAAACCACAGGGACAAGTGAGCCAAGCTAATAGTTGAGCCAGCATTGCTGCTGTCCTGGGACGCTATAAGCAAGTGGGTAGGTAAAAGTTAGGAGTGTGTATTACCCTAAGGACTTTCTATGTCCACCCAGCTCTGAATAATGACATGGAGACTTATATTTATTTATTTATCATAGCTTTTGAGTTTAGCTTACTCTTGTTCCCAATTAGCTCTTTTATCTTAAATAAATTTATATTAATATATGTTCTGCCTCGTGATTCATTACCTTTCATTACCTTAGTCTCCTAGTCTCTGCTTCTTCTTCCAAGTCCGGCTGGCGATTCTCTCGCCTTTGGTTCCCTCCTGTGACCCTCTCTTTTCACCTGGAAGTCCTGCCTATTCCCTCCTGCCTTTGCTATAGGCCATTCAGCTCTTTAACCAATCAGAAGGTGATAGGATGTTTACAAAATACGATGCAGCCATAGGGATAACAGTACAAAGTCAGGCCTGTACTCAGCTCACTGCTGGTACAAAATCCCAACAAGTGTGTTTCCTGTTTCTCCTTGAAAAATTTGCTTTGCCCCCCACCCCAAGGAAATATGAAAGCTGGGGGGGGGGGTTTCCGTGTTTTTCTAACACCTCAAAAATCACTGGGAGTGTTTAATTAAACCTTGTAGGCAGGCAAATCTTTTGCTTTCTTTGAACTGAAATCTCTTTGATTATTATTTCTATTTGTTTTCTCTGGAGATGTGGTTCTTCAGCTGGTGGTGGAATGGTATATTAAGTTTTTAGTTAAAACTTTCTTTGTAATAGCTAGAAAGCAGACAGGTTATAGTTATGACAGGAAAAGCTTTTACCTTAAAAGATAGTTTGTGGGGAAGTAAATCATTGAAATTTCGAAAAATTCAAAACTAACATTTCAGATTATCATGCTAGTAAAAATAGAATTCTAAATCTGAGCCTGTATTTCATCCATCAGGTGGGATTAATGTATTACTTTCCTTACAAAAGGATTATGGTGAGAAGAAAATAAGTTAATCTTGTGAAAGTGCTGTTCAAATTGGAGCCATACATCTAGGTAAAGACTCAAGAGGGCTTGTCCACTAGGAGTCCTTGCTTTAAGCCTTTATTTTGGTGGAAAGGGAAGGCCCTTGTCCCCATGACCTGAAAGCAAGTTTTCCCATCCTTGGCATCGTCAGTTGTTTCAAGAAATTTTCTCCGTGTAGTGTACCTTTGGGACCTGTCTACTGTGTCAGCTTCCTTTTCTAGCCACTGAAGAGCAGATTCTTGTTTATTGGCACAGTCGTCACCATTTAATTGGTATCATATTCTAATTTGCACAGTAACCTTCTTCACTGTGAAGAAATTATGGAATGCCAGGTGATTGGGTGTACTTAAGCAAACTAACATGAAAACATTTCAGTGCCTAATGAGTAGTGTACGGGTCCATACCATGCCTACGGCTGCCTGTATACAGTAGGCCGTATAGCTGCCTGTTGCCTAGTGGTCAGGGCGCCTTTCAGTTTCCTGTCTTACTGGAATAAGATTTTTGTGTCATTGCTTTGTTTTGTTTTGCTCCCCCCCCCCCAAATCTAAGAGGATACATTTATATTACTTTTTTTTTCCTTTCTTGGGAAATTTCTAAGATTCCTTCTAATTCTTAAATGTTCTAACTCAAGGTGTTCCTGTGAGGTTCTTCTTCATTTTAATCTAAGTCTTACTTCAATAACTTAATTACTATCCTAACTGTATTTTACTGGTCTTATATTTCTAAAAAGGTAAAGTTAGGAAAATGTTGCATGTGCTAGCTCCTACATTAATCCCAGCACTCAAGAGGCTAAAGCAGGAAGATTACCATGAATCTGGGACCAGCCTGGCCTATAGACTGAGACTCTGTTATAAAACCAAACCCAACTGAAAGCAAAACAAAACTGGAAACAGTAGTGTACCTCCTATAGAGAGCCAAAAATAGCCTTTACTTTTTTTCAGAGATATTTGTATTGCTTCTACAGTTAAATTATGGTCATCTTCAAGGCTTTTGTACCTCTGAAAGTGCTTCACATATATAAACATATATTTCTTGATGTGTATTCATGTGGGGATATTTTTAGCTGCTTGTAAGAATAAAAATAATTACATAATAAATTAAGTTGGTATCTCCAGTAACAAGATGCTTTTTGAAGACTAGGTCGAGTTCTGTTGCCTAAGGTCTTGCTTAGTGAGATACAAGCCAGGGGTAGGATACCTCAGGACATGTGAAAATAATAGACACCCTGTATAGTTTCATTTAAGTGATCCTTCATGATAGGTTTGTTCTGTTAGAAACTGAAGCCTGTTTTGTCTGGTCAAGTGTGTTTTGAATCATGCTCTTTCAATAAATTTCCTTGTGATAATGAGCTAGGAGTGTTGGACAGATAATCCGTTCAGCAAATGCCATAGGGACTCAGTCAGCTGAAGATGCCATGATCATTTAATGTGCAAAACATGGATCAAGTTTTTATTATAAATTAAAATTTGATGAGGGCATAACTTGAAAAATGAAGCTAAGTATTGATAGTTGATTTTTTTTCCTTTTAACAATAGTTAGTTTGTATCATAACTACTACTTTTTAAACAAAGTTATATGGACTTTGACTTGCTATTGGTTTTTTGATAAAATATGGAAACATAGTAAAAAAATTCTTCACATGACTTTTACAGCCTTAGTTATTATAAAGAGGTCATCCTGCCCATAAAAATGGAGTTTTGTTTTTTTTTCAATCAGTTTTTTTGTTTGTCATTTGTTTGTTGGGACAAGGTCTTACACTGTAGTGCAGGCTGTCATGGACCTCAGTAGCCCAGGCTGGCTTTGAATTAGTGGTAACCTACCTCCCTCAGCATCTGAGTGCTTAGATAACGGGTGAGAGCCAGCATATTGGATTTCTAGGACTCTCTCTTAGCTTTTTGATATTCCTAGAAACACTAATTATGTCCTGAGTGCTTGATTTTCAGATATGAAGTATTGTAGCCAGTGATTTAAATAATCCTTAGAAATCCTTTTGTCAACTTTAGAAAATCTTGTGATATTCTTGAGAGAATTTGTAATGTTAATTTGCTTATATTTGCATTTCATTAGCTAGTATTTTTGATGTCGATATTCACAAAAAGACTGACAAAGTTGGCAGGGTAATAGCTGATGCTGGACATTCAGAAAATCTTACATTACTAATTTTATAAAAGTGGTTCATCAATAAATATTTCTTCTTTTCCCCGGTGCTGGGGACTGAGCTCAGTAATTCTCGCATTCCCGTTACCATGACACTAAATTACATTACATTGCCATGGAGCTACATCCCCAGACCCATCAGTACATACTTCTCATTGCATGGCCTTTACAGTCCAGTGGGACGGAATCATCAGATATATGGACAGTAAAGGTCCCATCTAATGAATGTCCTCTATGGGGTCGCATCCATTGTTGTACTGTGTTTCATCACATTCTGGTCTTCAGCACATACTAACAACAACAACAACAACAAACCCAAGATATATTCTTGACATAATTTAAAACAATACATATAATCTGGGTATTGATTTCAGCTGCAGCCTCAAATACGACCTTCAGTATTTGCATGTATAAGAAGTGTTAACAGGTTGGGATGCCAAACCATCTCATTTTTATGATTCTCAGGTTCAACTTGCCTAAATCATTCTCACTGCCAGCCTCTTGCCGCCCACTTCATTCCTCTCTGCATAGTAAAAGAGGTCCCTGGTCCCTCTGGTTTTGAATTCTAGGTCATGATTGCTTTAGAATTGGCAAACATTTTTGACATGTATTTTAAGGAATCTAATTCTTTTCAGTGCTGGGATTTGAACCCAGGGCCTCATTCATGCTAAGCTATGCTACTGAGCTATGCCTGGGTCCCTATAACTGCTCTGAATCACGGCTTACTGCATCTCATGCTTTCTTTTGAACCAAGTTTAAATGAAGGAGGTTAATACAAATGAGCTCATAATTATCTCGCACACTCAGCTGAGTACATGCAGCCATCATCACCTCCGTTTCCATAGGACTGTTTTCCTCAGTAATGTGAGAAAAAAAAGTTTCTAGCCTAAGTTTTCTACAATACGATATTAAATAGGAATACCTAATGCCCTAAAAGTATCTTAGCTTGTTTTGTGATTCTTTAATAAAGTTTCTCATGTTGTGGTGACTCCAACCATAAAATTATTTTCTTTGCTACTTTATAATGTTAACTTTGCTACCATTATGAATTGTAATATAAATATCTGATGTTTCTGCTGGTCTCAGGGGTTGTTTGACGTCACAGATTAAAAACCAATCTGCTAAAGCTTCTTTTACCTTTGAAGCTAAGTAAGCTTAGCATTTTTCAAGACTTTTTCCTTTTATATTTTGTTTCTTACAGTTACATTTTGATGTGTTTATTTATTCCCTCAATACTAATGGGTTTGTTTATTCTATGTTTGGGCTTATTGAGTTTATGGAATCTTTAGGTTACTTTTATCCATCAGTTTTATACAGTTGTTAGGCCCTGTCTCTTCACCATTCCTCTATAGTCTTTATTTTTACTTTTCTTGTTTTCTATATTTTATCTCTTTACACTTTACACAAGCCACTAAGCGGTTGCTTCTGTTAACTTTTTTGTTTTGTTTTATTGAGACGGAGTTTCTCTGTGTGGCCTTGGCTGTCCTGGACTCCCTGGACCAGGCTGGCACAGCAGTCTGCCTACCTCTGCTTCCCAGGATGCTGGGGTTGCAGGCATGCACCATATACCCAATTATTTACAGATCATTTTTATGTATATTACCTAGTTAGGTCCAGTATTTTATTTTTGAAATAGGTTGATTTGTTCACTCAAAAATCATTTTTTGTTCAATTCTGTACTATGCTCTTTAAATTTCCATTCATCAGCTGCTACTGTCTATCGTCTGAAACCCCTGGTATTTGATGGGTTCCTAAGATTGAACATCTTCTTAGGTATTGTGTTTTTGCAGGTCCATTTAGAATATTTGAGTGTAACTCAATATTTTTCTTATTTTTTTCTTATTTTTCTTATTTTTTCTCATCTGTTTGTATCTAATTCCAGTGTGTTATATGGCTTTCAGAGTACCACGTAGATTAAATGAGACTCCAAATCTAATATTATTTTCCCTTAGATTATTGCTTATTAACATTCTATTGATAATAAAATATGATACTTTTCTGCATTTGCTATGTACCAAACACTGTGGTTTATATCCATTATATATTGTTTAATTCATGCATCCATCCTATGAGTATTAAGGAAACCAGGGTGCAGAAAAGCTCCCTGACTATGACACATGGCCCCTAAACTGAAGAAGCAGACTAGGAGTGTGTCAGATTAGTGTTCCCATGAGATCCTCACACTACCTGCCTTATAATTTCCTAGGTGTGAGTCCCAGAAATGGGGATTTCTGAGCTTCACTCCATGTTTGCCCAGTCTCGATCTTAATACACAAATATGTTACCCCAGTAGGTCACCTGTCCTTATTGTATTCTATTAGAGGAAGTTGTCAGTTTCTTTCTATTAACATAGCAATAAAGTCAGCATAAATGAGTTATCCTAACTCCTGTAGTGTATGAAATTAGACTCCGTATTAAGCTTACTTGGTGATAACCTTTCCACTCTTGATTTTCTCCAAGATTGTTATGGATTTTAAGCATCCAGAGGGAGCCACAGTACAAGTTATGTTACCTCGTCGGAGTCTGCTGGTGATGACAGGGGAATCTAGATACCTCTGGACTCACGGGTATGTACTGAGATAACCGTGGTGAGCGATGAGACGTTTTCTGCTTAGTGGAACTTCTCGTTCTTCTTTGTCTGGTTGTCTGAGCTGCTGAAGCCATGTCCTGTGCTTGACACCAAATCCTTTGGGAACAGACCTCCTAGGATGTATGCAGAGTTTGTTTTCCATACACTGCCTTTGTATTTTGAAAAGATTTCAAATTTGAAGAAAAATCATAAGTGTAATATAGCAAACTCACTTCACCTTTTACCTATAGATCTCGGTTGAAACATTTTGCTATGACTTTTACTTTTTCTCATGGTATCATCATTGTTTTTACTTAATCCTTTGAGAACAACTTATAACATCATAATTCTTCTTCATTTTGGTGGAAATGCATTTTAATTTTTTTCTTTTCTTTTAAGATTCATTTATTTATTTTGTATACAGTAGTCTGCCTTCATGTGAGCCTGCGCACCAGAAGAGGGCAGGAGATGTTATTACAGATGGTTGTGAGCCACCATGTGGTTGCTGGGAATTGAACTCAGGACCTTGGGAAGAACAGCCAGTGCTCTTAACCTCTGAGCCATCTCTCCAGCCTGTATCTTATTAATTTTTTTTGAGGACAGAACATTATACTGCTAGAATCTATGTGTATGTGAGAAAGTGTGTATACATGCAAAAATAATTAAGATATTGCTCAAATTTGTAGCCTACATATTTAAAATATTCAAGAAAATGATCATGTTATTGTATCAGTAACTTGTCTTTCATTTTATTTTCTTATTTGTTATTTGTTTATTTTGTTTGTTTATTGAAGATTGAGTCTTCTCTCATACAGTATGCCCTGATCATAGTTTTCCCTCCTCCACTCCTCCCTGCTCCTTCTCACCTCCACTGTCCTTCCCACTTCGATACATTCCCCTTCTCTTTCTTCTTAGAATAGAGCAGACCTCCAAGAGAGTACAGCCAAATAGGACAAAACAAGATACAATAAGACAAGGCAAATGCCCTCATTTTGAGGTTGTATAAGGCAACCCAATGGGAGGAAAAGAGTCTCAAGAGCAGGCCAAAGAGTCTGGGGTACACCTGCCCCTGCTGTTAGAAGTCCCACAGAGACACCAAGCCAGCACCCATGACCTATGCGCAGAGGACCTGGTGCAGACCCATTCAGCCCTGGGCTTGCTATCTCAGTGCTTGGAGGCCCATGTGGACCCTGCTTAGCTCTTCACTGGGCCATGTTCTCCTGCTTTCCTCCATTTCCTTTGGCTCCTAAAAATCTTTCCTCCCCTACTCTGCTTCCTCAGGGTTCTGGGAACTCCAAGGGGAAGGACCTGATGGAGACCTCCAATTTAGACTTTAATGTGGGTCTCTGCTCCTGCTTCCATCTGCTACCAGAGGAAGCCTCTCTGATGACAAATATAAAAGAGACCTGTCTATGGGTATAGTATAGAATAATAATAATAATAATAATTATTATTATTATTATTATTATTATTATTATTATTATTATTATTATTATTGCCAGTTGTGTCTTATTCTACCCCGATCTCTAGGCTATCCAGTCTCTGGTTCCTGGCCATCCAGGCAATGTAAGACATGGGCTCACTCTTGGGTTGGCCTCAAGTTAAACCAAACATTGGTTGGCCACTCCCACAAATTCTGTGCCACCATTGCTCCAGCACATCTTGTAAACAAGACAGACTGTAGGTCAAGGGTTGATGTCCAAGTTTCTCTTTCCATAGCCTATAGAGTACTTCCTCACGCCAGAGGGATTAGAACACAGGATGAAGGCTCCTCAACCTCTCTACATTAGTGAGCTATGTGGATGTTGTCCTTGGCAAGGGGCCCCACTGTCAGTTTTTCCAAGAGTGACCTTCCGTCCTAATATCAGCCTGGGTTGTTATGGAATCTGCACAGGACCCCCTCAGCCAACAGCACTACCAAATGCAACCCAGTCCCACTACTGTAAGCCTTGCCTGCTACAAAAGATTGCCAGTTCAGACTCTGGATTCGCTATTACTAGGACTCCTCACAAGGGTCACCTTTATAGGTTCCAGGAAGTTTCCACTGGACACGGTTTTCACTTCATATCAATGCCTCCCAATTCGAGCTGTCTCTCCCTGCCTTCTCTCCCTTCTTCCCCTCCCACCTCCCCCACCTGGTCACTCCTGCTCTTGCCCTTCCTCTGTTGTTGTGTGCCGTGCCCTCTGGACTCCCCAGGTCTATTCTATTTCCTGTTCTCAGGGGTATAGGTCCATGCCCACCCTGTGGAGCCCTCTTTACCTGTCCTCTCTGGGTCTGTGGATTGTAGTTTATTATTTACTGAACAGCTAATATCCTCTTATAAGTAAAGACATACATATTTGTCTTTCTTGCTCTCAGTTACCTCAGTCTGGATGACTTTTTCTAGTTCCACCCATTTGCCTGGTATCCATTCTTTGGTAGAGGGATCTCCAGGTTGTCAGTTTCTGGCTATTGTGAATAAAGCCACAGTGAACATAACTGAGCAAGGATCCTGGTGGTAGGATGAAGTGCTTTTTGTGTCTATGCCAAAAAGTGAAGTAGAGGTAGTTTTTGAGGTAGATCGAATCCTAATTCTCTGAGGACACAATATTGTTTTCCATACTGGCTGTAAACGTTTGAAAGTTCACCAGCAATAGACCTTGCTGCACATCTCCCCTGCATGAGCTGTCACTTATTGGTCTGAGTCATACTGACAGGTGTGAGCTAGAATGTCAAAAGTCATTTTGATTTGCATTTTTCTAATGGCTGGGGATGTTGAACATTTCTTTGTTTTTCAGCCATTTGAGATTCCTCTGTTGGGAATTCTCTGTTTAGATCTTTACCCCATTTCCTAATTGGATTATTTGGGTTTTTTTATATCTAATTTCTTGAATTCTTTACATATTTTGGATATTAGACCGCTGTCTGATGTGGAGGTGGTAAATATCTTTTTCCTTTCTGAAGACTACCTCTTTGTCTAAGTGACAGTGTCCTTAGCCCTACAGAAGCTTTTTGGTTTCGTGAGGGCCCATTCATTCATTGTTGATTTTTACTGCCTACACGATTGGTGGTGTTAAGAAAGCTGTCTCCTATACTAACATGTTTTCAAATGCTACTTTATTGGGGGTTCCTTAAAGCTTATTACCTCCCTTCCAATCTCCCAACCCCAGTTAGGGGAAAAAGAAGATTGTGAGGGGAAGGGGATGTAGCCCTCTTTATTTCTTCCTGCTGGGTATGGTCAGAGGATTCTTTTGGGGGCAATATTAATATCCATCGCCAGGAAATCCAGAAGTTGAGGTAACCAACAAACTAGCAAGCCAGCAAGTACAGCAAGTAGTCCTCCTGCACCTTCTCCAGGCCACCACACTTCTTTCCTCTGGGCTGTCAGAGCTACACCCCACAAAGCCCTCAGGATTAAACTAAACCATGCTCTGCACGAGACAATTAACAGGTGTGAACAAACTAAAATTCTCCCACTTGGAATCATAACAAAAACATGTTTACATATCATAAACCAAAACATCCACAATGCTAGGGACAACCTTGAGAATTGGGTTTAAGAGTTTGAGTCTTAAACAAAACAAAACGACAGATGACCTGATTTTGTTTATTTTGATGGCCACTAAAATATTTGCACTTTAAATAAATACAATCTAATCCATTTTTTAAAACACTTTTAGAATTTTGAGAATAAGCACTTTTTCTTTTTTGTTTCAGGCTCTTTGGGTTGTCGCTTCTTCCTTAACCTTTTTAGAATAATGGCCTCGTAGTAAATGAGAAACACAGTTACTTTGCATATATGTTGTGAAAACATTTCAGTCTCTTCTTGGAAATGCATAGCTTCTCCCCTGATTTTTATAAAACCCATTACTCCTTGGGTTTTATAGGGGAGTACCTTTGCAAGTCAGGGCCAAGGTCTGTTGTCCACATCACACCAAGGAACGGATGTCACACTGGAGATTCATTTGCTGGGGTTGGGGGAGAACAAGTGGAATGAAAGGCCGTCTCAGGGTTAGGACCTGAGAGACGAGCAGGCCGTGATGTCAGGGACCTTTGAAAGGGTCACATGTCACACTGGCAGCCGCACTGGCAGCTGGTGATCATGTCGATGCTGGTGCTGAGTAATGGAAGGTGGGCGGGGGCTGACAGTTTTGAAAATACATGTTACTAAATGTTAATAGTAGTTATTTATCAAAGTTTGGATTATAAGTAATACTAATGTTTAAAGCTGGTGTAAGGATTGTAAATTCTTTGTAATATTTTTAAGAGAAAGAAAAATAAATATCAACATTGTTTTTGAAGGTTGCCATTGACATTCATAACCTCCAAAGTGACTGATTGTGTCTGTCTGTGTGTGTGTGTGTGTGTGTGTGTGTGTGCGCGTGCGCGCACTGCAGAAAGAGATAGAAGAAAAGGTAAGAGATAGAGATGGAGAAGAGAGTGATAGAGAAAGGAAAATAAGTAGTATACCAGTTACTGGGATGAGTATTAAGATCTTTGATGAAAGGGAGAATAAATTGAAATAAGCATGCCGGCATAGGAAATGAACTTGTTAAAACAAAATCCCAACCTGCTATATGTACATTCTTTCCCAAGTACATTGTAATTTGCAGAGTGTCATAGATTTGAAAAGGTATGTTAATTCCAACATTTGTTGTGTTTCTTAAATATTGTTCTCACTAAAATGTTTATTGTGTTCAGAATTACACCTAGAAAATTTGATACCGTTCAAGCATCTGAGCAGTTCAAAGGTGGAATAATCACCAGTGACATCGGAGACTTGACTTTAAACAAGAGGGGAATGCGAACATCATTCACATTTAGGAAAGTGCGGCGAATGCCCTGTAATTGTAGTAAGTCTCTACTTCTGTATATGCTGGTATGAAAATCCCTTAAGGCCATCAGTACTTAGAGAGGTTTTTCTTGTCTTCTCCGGTCTTCTGAATTCGTTCTTGTGTTCGGCTTTCACAGCACTTCTCTGACTTCCATCAGTGGTGTTTATGTTCTTCAAAGGCCGAGGCTATATTTTATCATTAACTTATCTGAAATTTGAGTGCCAAGAAAATGCTTTAGTTTTTAAAATAACAGTTAAGAGTGATTGTAGGGTGATAAAACATTATTCATGCAGAAATGGCTTTTGTTGGAAATGCTTGTCAGCCTTTTGCAATTTTTTTTAATTTTAATTTTTTATATTAGTTACAATTTATTTACTTTGTATCCCAGCTGTAGCAACCTCCCTCACTCCCTCCCAATCTCACCCTCCCTCCCTCATCTCCTCCCATGCCCCTCTCCAAGTCTACTGATAGGGGAGATCCTCCCCTTTTCTCTGACCCTGGCCTATCAGGTTTCATCAGGACTGGCTGCCTTGTCTTCCTCTGTGGCCTGGCAAGGCTGCTTCCCGCTCAGGGGAAGGTGATCAAAGAGCCAGCCACTGAGTTCATGTCAGAGACAGTCCCTGTTCCCCTTACTAGGAAACTCACTTGGATACTGAGATGCCATGGGCTACATCTGAGCAGGGGTTCAAGGTTATCTCCATGCATGGTCCCTGTTTGGAGTATCAGTCTCAGAAAAGACCCCTGTGTCCAGATTTTTTGGTTCTGTTGCTCTCCTTGTGGAGCTCCTATCCCCTCCAGGTCTTACTGTCTCCCCCTTCTTTCATAAGATTCCCTGCATTATGCCCAAAGTTTGGCTATGCGTCTCAGCATCTGCTTTGATACACTGCTGAGTAGAGTCTTTCAGAGGCCCTCTGTGGTAGGCTCCTGTCCTGTTCCCTGTTTTCTCCCTCTTCCACTGTCCACCCCATTTGTCTTTCTGAGTGAGGATTGATCGTCTATGCATTATTTTTAATCCCAGCAGGGAAGATGGAGATGAATGATTGCTTGTGTAGGTGATTATGGGAGTAAGTGGTGGCTTATAATTTAGTTATTTTGAAAATGTGGAAGGATCAAAAAGGAACTGCTCAGGATGCTATTCTGACTTGTTTATATAAGTATGTTGTTCCCTGGATTTATTTCTTGCACTTAACAAAAATTTCTTTTACTTCATAAATGATAATTTGTAATTAACAGGAATCAGAGAATGCTTTTCATATCACAGGTATTTCAATTTGGGGTAGCCTACAACAGTAGCTGTTATATTTAGCTGTAATCATAAAGAACATTTTAAGTTATAAATCTTTTCTCTCAGGGCTAGAGAGATGGGTTAGCTGTAGCTCTTCCAGAGGACCTCAGTTTGCTTCTTCCCAGTACCCACACTGTTGGACTGTCAGGTCAGTTGCAAGGGATCTGATAGTTTCTGGCCTCCACAGGCACCGTTTTCCCACATGGTATATATAAACAGATATATACACATAAATTAAAAATACAAATAAATCTTAAAGAGCAAAACCTCTTATATCTTAAGATGATAATCCTGTTTAGAAAAACTTAAAATTGCTTATTTGTAAAGCTAAAAACGAGTCTTTACTTTTTTTGCTAACAGTGTCAATGAGTTCATAACGCGTGTTACTTTAAAGATGTTTAGGCGCGTGAAGCATTTCACACTACTGGCAGCTTTATAAGCTTTATAGAGCAGAGCTCCTCTTCTATAGCTACTTAAAAATTTGGTTGAGAAAAACTAGGTTTCTTATGCAAATTTTTCTTTGTTGTGGATGGTTATTAATTGTAAGTGAAATGCTAAAAGCATTGGGCTTTCTATTTAGTTTGCAGGGTTTTTTCCCCCCTTTTTCTTTCTTCTGCTTCTTTCTTCTTTGGCAATTTCATACATGTGTAATGAAGTTTGTTCCTTGACACTCTCCTTTACCCCTCTCCCACTGTCTGTCTTCTTCCCAACAAACTCCTACTCCTTATGTTTTTTGTTTTGTTTTGTTTTGTTTGTTTTATGACTTACTGAGTTTAGTTAGAATTACTTGTTTGAGCATGGATGTAGAATTATTTTCTGCAGTATGGACAATGTATCAGTGGTTACATTACTGAAGAAAATGATAAGCCTCCCCCCTTCAACTACTCCCAGACCTTTTCCCATATATAGATTTTACTTGATACCATAGTCTTTTGAATAGAAATTAAACGTTTACATTGCTTTATGACTTATTACTTAATAAGTCATTTTGTTATTATGATTGATTGATTGATTGAGGTGCCGTCGCCCTCTGTAAGCCTAGGAAGCATGGAACTCACTATGTAGTACAGAGTGTCCTCAAGGTCATTTTAGTTCTGGTGCTCAAACTCTCAGTGTTGGGGTTGTGGGTATGCACCGCCACACCTGGACGCAGACCTTTCTCTCCTCACAGATTACACCTCAGTTTGCGACAGACAGAGGACGGCCACACCTCCTTCCCTCCCAGAGAGCAGTAAAGCAGCGTTGCAGCTGGAGCAAGAGCATGTCCATCATGTGTATGAGGAGATTGCCAGGCACTTCAGCAGCACGAGGCACAGCCCTTGGCCACGGGTAGTGGAGTTCCTGAAAGCTCTGCCGAGGGGTTCCGTAGTGGCAGATGTTGGATGTGGAAATGGAAAGTACCTTGGCATCAACAAGGAGTTATATATGGCAAGTAATTATACTGCACCTCTCTTTTTTTTAATGTAAAAAATTGGGGAGGGGTGTTTATACATAAGTACTTTCTTTAACATCATTTTCAATCCTCCCTCTCTCAGTTCTAATTCCTCCCATGTTTCCCTCACTCTCTCAAGTTCATGGCCTCCTCTTTAACTGCTACTATTAAATACATATTCATATATATACATAAACATTCATACATTTACATATATGTATACATGTAGTCTGCTGAGTTCATGTAGTGGTGTGTGTGTGTGTGTGTGTGTGTGTGTGTGTGTTTGCAGCTGACAACTTGAGATTGGATAACCTATTGGGGGTGTTTTTCCCTGAAAAAGACCGATTCTCTCTCAACAGTCGCTAACTGCCCCATATTTCTTCATGCAGGGATGGACTTTGTGAAATTTCCCCCATCCACATCAGCATACCACCTAGTGTTGTCATTATTCACATCTTGTTTAAGCAGCCATATTGTTGAGATTCCATGTGTAGAGCTACTATCTTATGTATTATATGGATCCATTGGCTGTCAACTAAAAAAACCTATGGCCCATGGGAAAGAGTAGCATAGAAGGTGGGACATTCCGCAGGCAGAAAGGATTCTGGGATAGAACCAGGAATGGGAGATTCATCCAGGAAGATATGAGTAGGACGGTGGAATGGTACCTGAGCAGAGGTAACCAGCAACATGGCAAAATGTAGATTAGTATAAATGGGTTAATTTAAGTTATGAGCTAATTAGAGAAAAGCCTAGCTGTATGACCTAGGTATTTCTAAATATATTTTTCAGTCTCATGTGTCATTATTCCAGAAGAAAAAAACAACCACAACATCCATGGTGCAGCTTCCCTGCTATATATAGAAAATGGTTTCTCACAGCAGATGTCCTATTTCCCTAGCTCTTAAAATCTTTTTACTCCTCTTCTACAGTTTTTTGGGGGGTGGGGTTTATGCATCTGCTTTATCTTTCTTCTATTAGGATGTCCCAATAAGGAAAACCTCTCTATAAAATCCTTTCTATAGTTTATAATGATAAAGTAGTTTATTCATGATCATATTATAAAGTAAAATCTAAAAACAGGAAAAGTTGCAAAGAATATAATGCTCATATAGACCAAGGGGAATAAGAAAAAGAATTGGAGGAGTGTTAGACTAATAACTCAGTCGATAAAATGCTTGTCATAGAAGCACGAGAACCCGTTTGATCCCCCAGCACCCACATAAAAAGCTGGGTATGATAGCACATGATTGCCTTCCCAGTGTTGGGGATGCAGTGCTAGGCGGATCCCTGGGGCTCAGTGACCAAGCAGCCTAGCTGACTCAGCCCCAAGGATCATTGAGATGGACACTTTCTGAAAAAGGACACATGGAGCTGACCTGTGGCCTTCATACTTAAATGCAGACATGTACACCTACCCACATTTGTACATGTATACACATATTTAAAAGAAAAAGAATGGGCATATTTGCTAACTTTCTGCCATTGACTAAATAACAGTAATACGCTGTGACAAAGAACCACTGCAAGAACACAAAACTGGAAGCACTGTAAACTCTGGTTCCAAACGATCACATGTAACTCTTGCACCTCATCAAAGAAGCTTCTTTTGGAACAGATGAAGGCTATTATAGCCACAACTAGTCAACATGCGAAGAACACCTGATGAGGAGTTGCTGGATGCCAGCTGATACCTCTTCAGCACAGTCCCTACACCTGAATAACAGAGACTTGATCTCCAGTGTTCATTCTTTCAGAAAACAAAAGTATTGTCTCAGATTTAAAAATTTACCAACTTCACTGTGCTAGACTCAGGGCTAAAGACATTTCCAATTCTGCAATTGCCTCCTTTCATTTGTTATCATTTCTTTGAGGCTCCTTACTGTGTGAAGAAAGTTCTTTGAGTTCTCAGCATTGATGTAAATATCCCTGTTATCACTTCTCTGTGACGACTGGAGAGTTTGTTTCTCAAGATTTGGGATGAAGAAAGAGAGAAGAAGGAAGAAGGGAAGGAGTGGAAGAGATTGCATGAGTGACTGAAGGAATGAGTCATTCAATATCCAAGTTATTGAAATATTTCTGGTTGCTGAGAACCTTGACTTCTTCTCCACACTTGATACTGTGCACCAACACAAAGGAAAAACTATCCCTGCTATTAAGGGAAGGTAGCGCTGACACAAAGAGGCAGATGAAAGTAGCTTTCCTTCTACATACAATATAATCGTGTATTTAGTTCAGTTTTAGTTTGTGAATAACAGACTAAGTTTTGCTCACATTGAAGTTTTTTTTTTTAATGTGTCATATAAAATTCCATCCTATAGTTCAAAGTAAGATAATCAAATCAGACTTGATGATACCTGCCTATGGTCTCAGTTCTTGAGGAGTGCTTGGGCTTACTAAAAAGCAAACTTAAAAAAAAGAAAGTATTCTGACAAGTCTTACTGTATAACCTTTGCTGCCCTGGAACTTGTGATGTAGATCAGGCTGGCTTTGAATTCATAAACATCTGTCTGCCACTGCCTCCCAAGGGCTAGAGTTACAGGTGTGTGTTACCATGCTTGTCGGGTGTTAACTTCTTCAAAACTTCTTCAAACATGTTTCATAGTAGACTGTGCTTCCTGGAGAAGGAAAGGAGAAGACATATATTTATAAAATTAGAGATTAACACGGTATCATTTACCATCTACTCCAGTGAAATGCAGAATATTATTAAAATACCATGAAAAAACGGTCTTCTAAAAAGCTGGAAAACCTAGAAGAAATAAAATTTCTAAATACATACCATCCTCCAAATTAGAGCCAGAAGATATTGCAGACTCATTATAATCTGTGAGATCAAAGCTATAATTAAAAGGCCTTCTCTCAGAGAAACATCCAAGACTAGATAGATTCACTGCTGAATTCTATCAAAATTTCAAGGAAAATCTCATAGTGATTCTTTGTAATTTGTTCTACAAAACAGAAAATGAAGGAACTCTACCAAATCCTTTAGTAATCCAGTATTATGCTGATGTAAAACAATATAAGGACAATAAAAGGAGAGCACTACAGTCAAGTGTCTGGACGAGCACAGCTGGACACAGCAGTGCCCTTACTGAAGCCAGGGCGTCTCTGGGCTTTACATACTGCAGTTTGACTTCTTCACCGTGGGGTGTTTTCTTTTTAAAAATATTTATTCGTTTATATTATTAATTGTGAGTGTGTGAGAGAGGGAGAAAGAGAACGAGTGAGGGGGGAGGGGAGAATGTGGATTGTGTGTGTGAGGGCACTGTTCATGGAGGCTGGAAGAGGCCACCGGGTTCCCAGGTGCTGGACTTAGAGGGGGTTGTGAGCCGTCTGATGAGGGTGCTGGGAACCAAGCTTGCATCCTCTGTGAGAGCAGTATGTGCTCTTAAGCACTGAGTTATCTCTCCAACCATAAGGTTTCCGTTACAGTTTTTAAGATCTTGTGTGTGGGAATATACTTTTTAAAAGCATTCACTTATTTTATGTGTATGAGTGTTTTGCCTGTGGGTATGTACCTGGATCATATGCAGATCTGTTGTCAGATGCCAGTAACAGGCACTGGATACTCAGGAACTGGGGTATGTAACACCAGCCACCATGTATCTGTGCTGGAAGAGCAAAGTAATATCCTCTAGAAGTGTAGCAAGTCTCTTAACTGTTGAGCCATCTCTCCAGCCTAAATATTAATATATTTTTAAAAATATTAATATACTTTTAAGCCCCTATTCAGAATTTAGTGAAAGAAATTCACCTACCTGTTTTCCTATTACCCTAATAAACCAGTTTATAATAAGTATATTCATGTATTGTTTTCCCCATAAATATTTATACTGTAGTTTATATAATTTGATAGTTCATATCACTTATCTTTATTTTTATATTAACTGTCTCAAAGTTTCTAGATTTTAGATATATTAGTGACATGCCTGTATATATGGCTGTTTTCAGTTTAGTGCTATTATAAATTACCCTGTGGTGCTGCAGACTTTGCTAACTGGCGCAGCGCTTTAGTGTGTGTGAGTTCTGGGTTCTGGGTTCAATCCTATTGTGCACTTAGAATTTCCTTAGGATACATTTCATGTTGAGTATATATGCTATAATTAAAAAACAAAAAGAAATCTTACTCTGTATAAACATGTATATTGAAAGAAAGTGTGACAAGAAAGAAATATATGGATTTGGGGGATGAGGAAGATCAGGATTTTAAATCCATGGTCTATTCTTGGCTAATTACTAACTTTCTTTGACATAAAATTCCATCATCTCCACTATGGAAATAAAACTAAGTCAAAATATTTTAAAAAGAGTTTGCCTGCGTGAATTCCAAACAGGTCAGTGGCTCTTAGCCTCGTTAGCTCTTCTGTAATTTGTGTTACTTAAAAAAAAATAATTTACTTGTTTTTATTTTATATACATTTCTGTTTTGTCAGCGTATATCTGTATGAGGGTGTCAGATCCCCTGGAACAGGAGGTACAGACAGTTGTGAGCTGCCATGTGGGTGCTGGGATTGAACCTGGGTCCTCTGGAAGAGCAGCCAGTGCTCGTAACTCTTGAGCCATCTCTCCAGCCCCATTGTGCTACTTTCTAAAACACATTTTAGAAAAGTGATTATGAAGCTAAAAGTTGTGAACATTTTTATCATGATAGTTACACATAGCTTGACTAGTTGCTTTTTAAATGGTTGTGCCAGTTTGCACTATCAACGGCATTGTGGAAGGAGAGTTCTGTCACACTGCCGTCACTGTGAGATATTTGCACTATCAGCAGCGTTGTGGAAGGAGAGTTCTGTCACACTGCCGTCACTGTGAGATATTTGCACTATCAACAGCGTTGTGGAAGGAGAGTTCTGCCACACTGCTGTCACTGTGAGATAGTTTGCACTAACAGCGTTGTGTAAGGAGAGTTTTGTCACACTGCCGTCACTGTGAGATATTTTGGTAGTTCAGCTCAATGCAGTCCACTGTCCACTGCAAAAGGTATCTTTCCATTCTGTTTTCTTCCTTTCTTACCAGATAAGATAAGCAACAATTACTTTCTTGCTCTAAAAGTTATGTATTTGGTAGTTTAATAGTATAAAATGGGGCTTTAATGATTTTTTTTTAAATGTTTTTGAATATTTCCAAAGTCATGTATTTACGGTTTTGGTTTGTTTTATTTTTCTTTGAGAATTTTAAAAATAATGAAGATACAATTGGGTAGATGGCTCAGTGTGTCATACAAAGAAAAGGTTCTGAGATGAAATCCTCAGGGTCCACATAAAACCCAGCCATGGTAGCAGATGTCTGTAATTCACTGTGCCCTTCATTAAGGTGAGAGATGGAAACAGGAGAATTCTGGGCCATGTGGCTTAAAGTAGGTGGGATGCAAGAACTAACATCGGGGCTATCCTGTGACCTCCACATGTGTGGTGTGGCACCCCCTGCATGCCAGCATGCTCACACACGAACATAAACACGTGCACACATAACACATGCACAAATAGAGAAGAGTGAAGAAATATTTTTAAAGTTAATATGAATTTTTATGTATTTGAACTCGATGCAACACAATGAAATATGTAACCTCGCAAGAGTTTTGGAGTTCATGTTTTTGCTTATATATAAGCCATCTTTCTACTCTGTTGTAGGTATTATGCAGAATTATTGTGAAGAATTTCAAATACTTGTTTATACATAGTGTTATAAAAGGAAAAGGGGAAAAACATGATTTAACTGTGGTTTGTAAAGGACTACAGCAAAGGAGGTGAAAGTCTTGAGCCAGGCTGGTGCCACTTTGCCGTCCCTGGGAGGTGCAGCATTTGCCTGTGCTTTCTGTTAGTGAGGAGGAACGCTGTGTACAAATTGTCAAAAGCGTTAGCAGGAGAAGAGAGTATTTCCTCTTATTTCACTAGGCTACTAGTCTGGTTTTCTTTGTGGTTCCTAGCAACTTTCTTCTAAATAACCACTGAGCCCTGCCTTTAAAGCGGAGTGGATTTCTTTCTGTTGACTTTTAGTAAGATTCAGCTGCCAGTCACAGGTCACAACTGGGCTTACTTTTGGCTTTTGCTTTTTATGAACTGAATTTAAGTGTAAGGAAATATAGCTAACACCACACTATGCATATATCATTTGAGTGGTGTTTCCATTCTGAGTTTGTGCTTACTGGCTGAGTTGTATAGAATATATATGAAAATAAATAAACGTGATCAACTGGGTATGAATCTTAAACAAAAGGGAGATTTTTGAATGGTGATGGTCCCTTAGAACAAACTTTCCTATATTGAATTCTACCAAGGAAAGATTGCTAATTGGGAATCTATCCCATTTCATAAGTTAAATCAGCTCTAAGGACTGAATAGAGACATCATTTAATAATAACAATTGAAACTGAGCACATGTATTAAATATAATTGGGAGAGCATTGTGGATTAACTCAAACAAGAATTGTTTTGAAAAGAAAATTTTTGATATGAAAAATTCATATTCTTTATTTTTAGAAGGGCTGCAAAAGTCTTAAGAACCAACTTTTATTATAATGAAGAAATAAATGAGTAAATATGAGCTCAAACTGGCCCCTACTGTTGAATTAAATCTACCATTTTAATTACAAGTTTTAACAGAGAAAAGCATTGCTCATTATTGGATTGCAGTAAGAAAAAATGTCTCGGAATAATTATTAAATGATGGGTTAGCATTTTTGAATTTTTTAATGTCTTCCATAGTTTACATGTACACATCACAGTTATATGTGTATAGGTGTATGTGCATACACATGGGTAAATACAGTACAGAAATAGTTGGATGTTTGTATATATGTTCCTAAACAGGAAAACTTAAGCAGAAACAGCAAAGCTGCACTGAAAATGGGAAGCCCTTAGACACTTTGCACAGAGATGATCATGGGGCTCATTGGGCTTTGCCTGCTTAGGGAGGTGGAAATGTTTGCTCTGCTTGCTCTCTTCAGTGGTACCATGCATCTGTGCTGGCTTTCTTATACAGAAAGGTTTAAATAGGCAGAAGTTTACAAACTGTGAACTCAGCCACTTTGTTCTTTGTAAGGCTAAGCATTTAACAGAAAAAAAGGTTCAGTAGTTTTAAAAATTATAGTAATCTTTAACAGTAGAAAAACAAAAAAACAACGACAGAAGCAAACAGGGTTTCAGTATGTAATGCTGGCCGGCCTGGCCTGACTTTGCCTCCCACTTGCTAGGATTAATGCCACCATATCTGACCTAAATATTTTTGGTTTGAGAATTGATTTTTCTGAATGACAGTCATGACTTTGTAGCGACCGCTACAACTTGGAATGTTCTTGCTGCCTTGTGACTATGAAGCTGTGTAATTAATGTAAGGTATGAGGTAAACTTCTTGTGACCTGTAAACTAAATGTCGTAAATCTCTTTTCCGTCACAGATCGGCTGTGACCGCAGCCGGAACCTTGTGGACGTTTGTAGAGAGAGGCAGTTTCAGGCCTTAGTCTGCGATGCGTTAGCAGTTCCCATCCGAAGTGGGTCCTGTGACGCTTGTATCGCCATTGCTGTCATCCACCATTTTGCAACTGCAGTGAGTGTTGCTTTTCCCTCTATAAGAGCTTGTAACTAAAGTGAAAGGAAAAGTTTATGTGTGTGTGTGTATATACAAACATGTACACACACACGTATATATTTATTTATAGACTTTTGTGAGTCAAAATAAGCCTTTCCTTCCTTAAATTTCTTTTCTTTCTTTTACTTTTTTAGCTTTTGTCATGGTTTAAACATGAAGTATTCTACAAAAAGTCTTTTCTTGTTTTACTCATAACTGAACACATGTTAATGGTTGCTTTAATATATCCATTTATAATATAAGTCATTGCAAAATAAATGAAATGATAAGATACAAAATTTTTAACTTTACTTGCATTTATTCAATTTGGTGGTTGTGTACTGATGTGTGTACTTGCCACAGGGTGTGTGTAGGTCTAGAGAATAGCTTTGAAGCTGAGTTCTCTCCTTTTACCGCATGCATTCTGAGATTTGAGCTTCGGTCATCAGACCCTGGCAAGAACTTTACCATGAGCCATCTTTCTAGCCCCAAATATACAATGTTTAATTTTTAATTGCATTGGTTATGGAATCACTGTGTTTTTCTATGATATAACAGAGCTAGTATATTTAATTTTGATTAACTAAACTTTGTCTCATATCCAGAAACTAGAGGGCAGTAAGTACAAAGCTTTAAGATGGAAACATTGTATAAACTCAGTTTCATTTTCAAGTAGTAATCAGTTGATTTTTTTAAATTTAAATTAATAGAATCTGTAACAAGTAGTAAATCAACTGAAGGAATATGAGAAACTTACAAAAACTTATGAAAGCAATAATAATAATAATTGTTAAATATGTTTTATTGGTTTTAGTCTATATAAAGACTAAAATACCTGAATGATGGAAAGGTTATGGAGCCTACTCAGAAACTGAATTCAATTCTCAAATGCTGAGCCAGTTGTAGTGTTGAAAAACAGTATGCATTTAGAAAGTTCCAAAATATAATTTTACGTTTTATTTAAAAAAAGATAGATGGATAATAGTGAACAGATTATTTCTACACAGACAGAGGCCATACTCAGTGGTTATTTGGTGGTAGGAAAGTATCTAAATCTAGTGAAAGTAACAGATATCTCCTTTTCTGTCTGTAAAACCTGAGGGTAAAATTTTTGAGAATATGTAAGCAATTGAAAACAGACTGTGACAAGTAGCTTTTCTGGAATGAAATGGTATTTTCCTTACTTCCTTTTTTTTTTTTTTTTAAGCTTCCTACTTTTTTAAAATTTAATTTTATATATTTATTTATTACAATTTGTTCACTTTGTATCCCCACTGCAGCTTCCTCCCTTGTCTCCTCATAGTCCCACCCATCCTCTTTTCTCTCACTATGCCATTTCCTAGTCCCCTGATACGGGAGGACCTCCTCCCCTTCTATCTGACCCTAGCTTACCACGTCTCATCAAGGCTGGCTGCATCATCTTCCTCTGTGGCCTGGCAAGGCTGCACCCCTAGGGGGAGGTGATCAAAGAGCCAGCCACTGAGTTCATGTCAGAGACAAACCCCTGCCCTCCTTACTAGGGAACCTAACAGGCTTCCTTTGAACAGGGGGTCTAGGTCCTGTCCATGCATGGTCCTTAGTTGGAGTATCAGTCTCTGCAGGGCCCCCTAGGCCCAGTTATTTTGGCTCTGTTGTTCTCCTTATGGAGTTCCTGTCCCCTCCAGGTCTTTCTGTCTCCTTCTTCTTCCATAAGGATTCCTGCACTCTGCCCAAAGTTTGGCTGTGAGTCTCAGTATCTCCTTCGATACCCTGATGGGTAGGGTCTTTTAGAGGTCCTCTGTGGAAGGCTCCTGTCCTGTTCCTTATCTTCTCCTACTTCTAATGTCCACCCTGTAGAAGTGATAGTTGTAAAGAATCCATATAACTTTGAAAAACATACTTCAGAGTTAAATAAGTCAAAGTGTTCTTCATTTGCCACTGAAAAAGGACGTCATTAAATCCATTTCTTTGTCTATCTGTCTGTCTGTGTCTGTCTGTCTATCTATCTATCTATCTATGTATCTAGCTATCATCTATCCCTGTCTTTCTCAACAGTAAACACCCTTTCTTTTACATATACTAAAATATTCTTGAACTACAGAGGTGACTCAGTAGTTCAGAGCACTTTCTGTATAAGCATAAGGACAAGAGTTGAGGTCCTGACACCCACATAAAAGTTGGGCATAGTCCTCACACACACCTGTAATCCCAGTGCTAAATATGACAGAGATAGCATTATTGTTGGGGTTCTTGGCTGATAGTCTAGAAGGAAAAAGCTAGTTCTAGGATCAGGAGACCTTTTGTTGAAAGGGAGCAAAATGCAAAGTGATAGAGGTGGACTCCTGGTGCCTGTAGCTTTGAAGCTTTGGTCATGAGTACTTTCAATATACTTCATGGTGGATTTATTATTATTGTTATTGTTCTTACATTCTGGCTATTTTATTAAATGGATTGTTGTCTTCTCCCAAAGAGAAGTAAATTAAGACCATCAAGTACATATAAGCTGATTACTTTAACTCTTTAAGGATTGGCTCTCTGTTTTTTGGGGAGAGATTATAGCTACATAATTTCTGTCCCTCCCTAAGGTCTCAAGTTAAGCTGGGTTTATATCTGGGCCATCGTACCTTGCAGACCTTCAGTCATCTTCTGTCTCTCCAGCATTGTCTGATTGCTGAAACCTCCACTTTGCTTTCTAACTTCCTAGCTACTCCTTTGCTGAGTTTTTTGGAATTTCACCCAGTGCACATGCAGTGTGAGAACTGGAGGATGCCTTGAGGGGAGTTTGCATGTAGCCTTTGGAGGCATTTTTCTCTAGTTCCTCCTTTATCTATGATTCTGACCCCTGTATTTCAGCTGCTTGATTTCTCTGTTTTGAGAGCCTGGTGTCCGTAGGCCAGTGAATCTTGTTTTCTGCGTGTATTTTAATCCCCCTCACTATGAATTAAATTTGCTCAGGTCCAGCCTATGACTTCCTTACCAGTGCCTTAGCCAGCTGCTTTATGTACAGTGTTGAGCATCTGCAAACAGTCCTATATTTAATTATGTTTCCTACTTTCTCTCTCTGGGTTGATAAATTACAGTCATTTCATTTTAAATGTTTTTTTAGGAGCGCAGAGTGGAAGCTCTCCAAGAAATTGCCCGTCTCCTGAGACCTGGTGGGCAGGCCCTCATTTATGTCTGGGCAATGGAACAAGAATATAAAAATCAGAAGTCCAAGTACCTTAGAGGAAACAAAATCAGCCAAGGAGATAAAGAGGAGATAAACAGTGACACACCCGTGGAAGAATTACTAGAAAATCAAATGCCTGATGGGGTCAGCGAAGACCCAGCATTGTCTGTCCCTTCCACTAATAACATCAAGAAAGGAGGTTGTAAGTCAAGGAACGTTCCTAATTCTGAGCTTCCTATTCATAGAAATAGGACTTCTTTTCATTCTCAAGATGTGCTGGTTCCCTGGCACCTCAAGGGAAACCCTGGTAAAGGCAAGGTTGTTGAGCCATTTGGCCCAGCAGGATGTCCTGATCCCAGTCCTGTGTTTCATCGTTACTACCATGTTTTCCGTGATGGAGAATTGGAGGCTTCTTGCAAGGCTCTGGGTGATGTTAGCATTCTGCAGAGCTATTATGATCAGGGGAACTGGTGTGTTATTCTTCAGAAGGTCTGATCATTTATATGAACATATTGTGTATAAAGAAAAATGGTTGTCTGTTTTTTAAAAGGAGGCTAAATTATCCTTTTAATGAGAAAACTTTGGGAACGTTACTGAAGGAGAGCTGAGAGCAGAGATTACTTAGGTAACATTCTATCTGCTTCTGTTGGCTGACTTCATAAACATAGGTTCCTGTTACATGCCTTCTGAGTATGGTGTTTAAAAGTGATTGGCGTTAACTTGTGAAAAGTCTGTGATGTTTGTCTAAGTGTATAGCATTTTCAAGAAGCTTTTGTAAAGTGTTTATAAAGCTCCTAACATATGTAGGATCATAACAGTGCAGTAATGTGAACTTTCAATGAAATGAATAGGAAATTATCTGAAGTTTTATCTGCATCTGTTTGTTCCCCAAATTATAATAACTTTTTCACTGCATCTTTCTATCACATTGTGGATGCCTAGTAAAACTTTAGCCAGATGATTCTCAGAAATTAATTGAAAGTTCATTCAACAGATAGTCATTAAACTAATACCATGTACTTGAGTACTATTAAGTACTAGGAATGAAGCTGTGAACAATAAAGGAGGTTGAGATGTAGCTCAGTTAAAGAAGCAGTGTTTATTATTGAGGCCCTGGACTTAATGCCCATTACCACAAACACACGGACTAGCAAACAACAAGAGCAAAGCCCCTGTTCCTAGGGAGCTACCTACTGGGAGGGAGGCTGACAAAAGCAAGCAAGTAAGTACACGCTGTATCCCTGGTGAAAGCAACGCCATTTAAAGAGTAAATTGGAGGATGGAGGGAATATTAGTCTATGAGCAAAAAATTATTTTTAATGGCTGAAATAACTACTAATCCTGACTGATTTATTACCAGAAATAACTATTCCTGGTACAATGGTCCAAGCTCTAAAGACAACTCTAATAGTTTCCTTTAATAGTTAAATTACAAAAGCTAAAATGTTTTCAGCCACATAAAACTGTGCTCTTGCAGTCACAATTGGCTATTTCTATTTATTCATAGATTGTCCCAATTCAGGATAAGGAAGCATTTTTATCTAGTCAGTGAAACCAAAACCATGCTCTTGGAAAGTACTAGTAAGATTGATCAGTATCTAGCCAGATTGAGTTGACCAGGGGGAAATTTTTGTCATTTTTGTAATTGGTTCAATCAAAAAACATCATTAAGAGTAATATGTATGTTTTAAGACTCTTTATTAAAAAATGTTTATAATTGATGGGTATTCTCACACTGACACAATGAGCCAATTCAAGCCAAATTAAAGTATGAAGGCAGGTTTATTGAGAGCAGCTCTCACATTGGCTCACCAGTCTCAAGAACGGGGCTAGGGAAGTCACCGTGCAGACAGGGAGACAGAGAAGGAGGGTGGGAAGAGAGAGAACCGAAATTTCTAGGTTGTATATTGCAGAAATTCTGGGGGAGAGGAAGCCCAGCCCCTGGGCTGGGACGTTCAGCGTAGAAGTCAGGGAGTGCTAGCCATGGCCTGTAACAGGTAGGGACTGAGGGATGCTGTGTGGATCCATAAGCCAGGTCTGCTTTGATGTGTTAAATAGGCACCCCAGCCACTTGTCCCTAGTCTAAACCCAACAAGAAGTAACAGGTTTTTAAAATTATTATTATTTATTACAATTTATTCAATTTGTGTCCCGGCTGTGGCCCCCTCCTTTTTCTTCTCCCAATCTCATCCTCCTCCCCCCATGACCCTCCCTTAGAGGAGACCAACAGAGCCATAAAAACTGAATCCTGGGGGCCATGAAGAGACTGATACCCCAACCAAGGACACTGCATGGAGAGGACCTAAAACCCTGCTCAGATGTAGCCCATAGAATCAGTCTCCAAGTGGGGTCCCTAGTAAGGAGAATAGGGACTTTCCCTGGCATGACTCAGTGACAGGCTTTCTGATCACCTCCCCGTTTGGGAGGGCAGCCTTGCCAGGTCACAGAGGAAGATAATGCAATCAGTCCTGATGAGACCTGATAGGCTAGGATCAAGTAGAAGGGGAGGAGGACCTCTGTCAATTTTTTTTTTTAATGTAATAGCATTCTTTCAAATGAGACCTCTATTTGATATATAATTTTTTCTTTTGTTTTTTTTTTTTTTTGAGAGGATCTCAGGTAGTCCAGGTTGGCCTCATCTTGCTAAGGATAATCTTGAACACTTGATTTTCCTGTTTTCACCTGGGATTGCTTGTACCTCCACAGCAGGCCTAACTATAGTCTGTTTACACACACACACACACATATATATAAATCAGTGCTGGTTATATATTAAAGCAGCAGTTTTCAAGCTGTGGGTCATGATCCCTTTGGAGGTTTAACTGTCCTTAAGACCATTGGAAATACTAGATATTTACATCATGATTCATAACGGTAACAAAATGACAGTAACGAGGTAGCAACAAAAATAAGTTTATGGTTGGAGGTCACTACAACATTAAAGGATTGCAGCATTAGGAAAGTCGAGAACCTCTGTGTTAAAGAAACATGGAGCAGTGAGATGGCGTAATTGACCCAGGAATTTGCCAACAAGCCCGACACCCTGAATTCAGTCCCCAGAATTAACATGTTAAGAGGGGAAAACTCACTCCCACAAGTTTTCTTCTGACCTCGGTACATACACATGCATTTGCATGCACAGACACACACACACACCCATGCACAAATACGTCCACACATACATACACATAATTGTCAAACACTCACACACACACTTTTTTTTTTTTGAGGCATACATATTTTGGCAAATATGTATCATAGAAAATCATGATAATTGCAATTTCATTAGACGGATTACATGAGATATCATGACTATTTCAATTGTCAATGAAACAACCTGCCAGTGCTGAGCAATGTTGTAGTTCTGGCTATCCTGGAACTAGCTGAAATGCCCAAGCTAGTCTAGAACGCACAGAAGTCTGCCTGCTTCTGCCAAGTGCTGGAATTAAAGACATTTACCACCATGTCCACCTAAATAATTTTTTCTTAAAAAAAAAGAAAAGAAAAAGAAAAAGATACATTTTAGCTAGCCCTAAATCAAAGTTTGAAAATTGTGTTTGTGAATTTAAGTTTCTACATAAACAAGTTAGTCATGTTGACTGATCATAAGAAAAAGACTTTTAAATGTATATTGACTCTTTAAGCTAAGTTGAATATTTCCTTATTTTGGGTTATTTTAGAAATAAACTTAAAGGCAGGGATTGGGTTATACCTATAGTTTCATCTGCTTAGAAGTCTGAGCCTCAGAGTTCAAAACTGTCCGTGGTTACACAGTGAGACCCTGTCTAAAAAAACAGGTAAAACAGAGAAATCTGTTTCTTCTGTCATTTCTATAATTTCTTCTCCTTTGAAATGGCATCCTTGGGTGTCAGTCAAGAGTATAGTAAGAAATAAGTCCAGTGACCCTTCTGGGGCTAAATGCAACTTACTGCATGTTTTCTACCTGTAGAATTAAGAAGCATATATGAAATTTTTGTTAAAACCCATTTCTAGCAGCTCCTGGCTGTCTAGCTATACCTTTGTGATTGGAATTTTCTTGAGACTAAAGAGGAACTGCCAGTGTGAAAATCTAGCTAGCCTTCTGCTAAAGTCTTTAGTAGATAACATTTTAATTTCTTCCTAAAACAATTGTTACAAAGTAAGAGAAAATGTAAACTATAACTGACAATTGGCTTTTTTCAGTTATGATTATAATTATGAAGAATTCTTTAGTTAATGAAGTGTTGGTATAATGTTCCTGTGAAATGTATACAATTTACCCTTGTTCATTCACATGCTGATTTCTCTACTCCACTGTCTGGTTTCAATTGGGACATTGCATTGTGATGCTTATTCTAAGCATCACCTGTCTCAAGGTTGTGTAAACATGCCACCATTTGTTCTATGTAATTGTCAATGAAACAACCTGCCAGTGCTGAGCAATGGAGAGAATAGTGAAGGACATCCTGGTCCAGATGGGAGAAGAAAGAAGATAGTGGGAGGAGAGATCCTAGAGGAGAGGACCAGGAAATATCAGAAGACATAAACTGGACCTAAGATACGACTAAAAAGCAAGTATAATGTGGAAAATCTGAATGGGAGGAAGCTATGAGGGCTTGGAGGTTTAGGATGGAGTAATTATTGCCCAGCATTGTGCTCTAGGTTAATTAAATAAATCCTATTCCTTGTGTGAGTATACAGCTGTTTATCTAAAAGGTAAATCAATATTAAATATTAATAATCATCAACAATGAAGGAAAGGCTCTCAAGTTTTAAGAGAGAGTATCAAGATACTGTATTATCTTGGGTGTCATAATTTACTCTTTTGCTGTTTATCAGCTTTTGAATGAAAGTTCCTGGGCTCATCGATGAGGGGAACAATAATTTGGTTAGAAACATTAGCTGTCTTCATATAATTTTAAAAGTTATAATTTTGGATGTCCTGTGCAGATCAGAATCCTGTGAGATAAAGGCTTAGAAATAATAATAGCAATTTGATTCATGTTTACATACTTGAAGGATTTTAACTGAAATTTTGAAAATGTAAGTTGTCATAATCTGATGGCATCTGTGAGCCTGCTTTGCTCTTTTAGGAACTGACCTCTTACACACTGTTGTAGCTGTGTCTAACCTGAAGTAGATTTGTCTTGTTTTATATTGTGGTCTGAATGAAGAATGTCCCACCATAGGCACATGTATTTAACACCTTGGTCCCAGGCTGATGGTGCTGGTTGGGGAGCCTGGATGCAGGAATTACTGCTGAGGGCTTTAAGGACTTGTGACCTTGTTCCACTTCCCGTTTTCTCCTTCTGCTTCCTGTGTGTGGTTAAGATGTGGTCCCTCTGCTTCCTACTGTATCCACCTGCTGCCACGGTGAACTCTTCATTCCTGTGAAACTACAGAACAAAATAAACTTCTTCTATAAATTGCGTTTTGCCATGGTATTTTATCACTGCAATAAAAAGTGACTAGTACACGTTTTTAAGACAGTATTTTCAGGTGACATGTATTTAAAACTGAACGCCACCACTGAGCTGTTAGAATTTGGCAATATGTATCATAGAAAATCATAATAATTGCAATTTCATTAGACGGATTACATGAGATATCATCACTATTTCAAACATTGTACTCTTTACACAATGGACAATAATTGCCAGCTTTTCTGTCCTCATCTCCTGCCCTAACTTTTTCCTTTCCTCACTTATTTGTGCGTGTAGTCAGTTTGGCATTGGCATTCATTAATGAATTCCTGTGATTCTTTAATTGTTAAGTACTGATTTCCTGGTTGCACCTCTGGCATAATTCTTCTTGGAGAGAGTGGTGTATACTCAGTGGGGTGTTGTGGGATGAGCAGTAAGCAAAAAGCATAATCGATAAACATATATTTTGAGCTGAAGTGGCATTTTTCCCCACAGAGAAAACAAGACTTAGATCAGGAAAGGAAGTTAAGGGTGAGAAGGCTGGTGGATTCCAACTTCTGAAATGTTGTGGATGATTCTCTAAGATGACATTTAAGTGAAGATTTCAATGGTTGGGGAGTTAGTTATCTACTTATGTGGGGAAATAGAATTTCAGACAGAGGAAAAAATCTAGTGTAAAGTTCTAAGGCCAAAGTGAAGAACTGCAAGGAAGAGGTGTGTCTGTAATAGAGAGTGAGAATCTGCCATGTGTTCATGGATTCAACCAACTGTACACTAAAACCATTAGGAAAATAATTTTATCTGTGCTGAGTGTGCACATTCTCTTAGTATTTCTCCCATAGTCATGATGATTGCTCTTGATTGCTACTTTGAAGGAATGAAGAATCACCAGGAGACAGACTTCTGGACACACCTGTGAGCTCTGGGGGATTCATTCTCACAATAGATAACTCCTTCCTATAGGCAGCCCAGATATAAAGAGGTCTGAGGAAAATGCAGTTTCACCTACATGCGTTCGTCTTTCTTTGTGAGTGTCTGTTCCTGCAGTTGCCATCCTCTGCTGACAGTTTCTTTTGCTTTCCAAAGTGAACTGACTGTGATTCTCCAAGGACTGCTATATCAACTTCATGGACTGAGCAACCAGTGGGTTCTCTCTCTTTCCAGTATGCAGATGGCAGTTAAGTTTAACAACCTCTGTCATGTAAACCAATCTAAGAAGGAACCATTCTATAGTGAACATGCATTCTGTTATGTTCCTCGAGAGAAGCCCATTCATTACTGTGGTAACACTAGTGTAACAGTGTAACAACTACATACGTGGCATATTTATATTGTGCTAAGTACTATACGTAAGCTAAAGTTCATTTAAAGTATACAAGAGGATGTGTGACAGGCTTATTCAAGTTTTATTATATGTATGATGGATTTTCACCTCTTCTGGAGGTCCTGGAACTACCCTACCCCTCCAGATACTGAGGGATGGCTCCAGTTGGAGATAAGATCAGAGACAAGGTATGTCAAAACACCTTTGGTTATCATTCTGAAATTGCAAGCTCTTTGAAACAAGTGACATCTGAGCTCTGCTCTGGAGGGGACTTCTGGCTCTGTCTGAAGCTTAAGCTGTAAAGGAAGAAGAGTGGAAGCAGAGGCGCCAGTGGGGAAGCTTCAATATAACCCAAATGAGAGGTGAGTATTGCCTGCGACAGCAAGTATGTTTGCATTGAGCATAGGAGAACAGCATGCTTTGGGTTCTGGATTTGGAAATAGCAAGAGTTTCTGATTAATTGATAGTGTTGTGTAGGAGAGTACAAGGGGCCCATAATGTCCACACATTTAACATGTGGAACTTCTTTCTGGTTTCTCCAGTCTGTTCCCCAGACTTGCCATTCTTCAGTCCAAATTCAATTTAAATTTATCATTTTCTTCTCTCTGATATCAGACAGGGGTCTCTAATTGTGCTACCCCAAGCAAATGTTCCATATAATGGAATGCATTGCAGACAACATTAGCAGTTACTATAAGCTCGGATGGTCTATTCACTGTTACAGGATATTTAATTATTGTACATAGCAAAACATAAGAGCCTAATATAGGTATTGAATTTGTCAGATGCAGGTAGGTGTGTCCTGAAGAGATGCAGTTTGGGTGTGCTTTATAAGAAGCCTCCATAGATATGGATGCTAAAGAATAGAAAGTTCCTGCCTATTTTAAGGCAAGTTGTTTGGGACAAGTCCTGTAGTCTTTGCTCTATGACCCAAGGCAAAGTGAGCTGGGTGGCCTGGAGCCTACCCCACCATAAAGATGAAATGGTTAGGCCCCTGCTGACTTGGCTTGGAGCCCTCCCCAACACATACACCATCAGGGTGGCTGGTTCAGTCTGTCAAGGATGTAGGGGAAGAGCTAGATACTTCTTTTTATAAACAATTGGATCTTTAATAGGTCTTTCCTCCCTCCCTCCCTCCCTCCCTTTCTCTCTTGGCTTGGAAGGGTATTTATGGAGGAGCTCTGGGTAAGAAATAGGGATCCTCTCTTTGGGGTTGCTGAAACAACAGAGAAACAGCTGGCAGGACACAGGTAAAACAGAATTCTAGGAAAGAGAGCTAAGGAGCCTTCTTGGGTTTGGAGGAGCTCAACAAAAAGATAGACTAGCTAAGAACAATGACACAGATAGAAAAACTGTATAATCAGTCTTATCAATGGGTGTTTTCTTTATGGTTCAGAAAAATAGTTACCTAACTGAGTTCGCAGGTTTTTACCTCAGTTTACACCTCCCATGTCTTTTTTGGTATAAATATTAGATAACTTAAACAGTTTAAGTTAAATATTGTTTAACTTAAACAATTTACTGCTGAGTAGTAGGATATGTGTGAAAATAGGAGTAAAAAGAACACAGTGCAACAATTGTGATCATAAATTCATTTAGGGACCATTAGACTGAGAGAAACACACATTCAGGGACTCTACATCATGTAGGCAGCAGGATAACAAGCAACTGATACTGCTTTATTTTCAGTAAACCAGAAAAAAACATGCTTACCTAAGAAGAGCAAGGCATGCTGAGCATAACTTTCAAATGCCCTCTGTAAGAAAAAAGAGGAAATAAATAGTGACAAGGAAAGGTTGCTCCAAGCTTTTTTGCTCCCTCACCTGATGTGGCTCTATTTATAGGTTCCAAAACCTTTACAACAACAACAAAAATCTGTGGATGAAAAAAAATATATATATATATATGTCATTTCAGACCACAAAATCTCATCTTCACTTTTTCAGAAAAGCAAGTAAAGCTTTTTATTGATCATTAAAACATGAAAAACAAGCAATGAGTGAATTTAAAAAAAAAAAAAAAAGTCTTCTGTGCCTTTCAGTCCCCAGAAGGGAAATTGGGGCTTTTTAGAAAATAAAATTTATGTTGGACTCAGCAGCACATATCCTAAAATTGAAACAGTACAGTGAAGAGTAGCATAGGCCCTGAGCAAGGGTGATGCTCGTTTATGAAGCATTCCATAAAAGAAAAGAAAGTACATAAAGTTATCTAAAATGATAATGTAAGGAAAGAATTCTGTTGTGTCAAGAAAGGCCCTCCACTTGTCCATGAACGAGCTTTAGAGGGCCTGTGAATATTCAACAGTCTTGAGGCAGGCTTATATGTAAAATGTTTATCAGCTTCCACAAAACTAACAAAGCTGGCCTTCTTATGCTTGTGTTCACAAGAGTGCAGGTAGCAACAGAGAACCAGGAGCACCCGTAGCTCGGGATATAAAGATGTTTGCATGGATTGTCTAGTTCACACTTTCTAGTTCATGATGGTGTCCCTAGAAAATACTTAGATGAGAATATACAATATTTTTACTTGATTTTAATGAAGTGGGAGGGTTCTCATCAAGAGTGACTTGAACCACCAAAGCAGGTGCAGCTCCAAGAGTTGATCAGTCTACAAACCCAAGACTCTGAAGGAAGCCCAGGCTGGGCTTCTGTGAGGAAGGGGCCTCCTACACTGCTTGAAACGTACACAGTTAATCTCTGTCTCGTAATTCTGAAAAGAGACTGACTTTCAAGCAGGGTCACTGGATTAGAGACAAACAACCAAACATTTGGGCATGACTAGACACTTGACTCTGAACTGGGATTCATAGTAAGAGACTCAAAATGTTACCATCAGTAATTATAGGCTTGAGCAGTATAGATCATCAGTGGAGTTTAGCTCAAGTCCATCTTACAGTAGTCTATTGGGTTCTTCAGTCCATGCTGTGGTTATCTCTCCAGTCCTAGGACACACAACTGGGATAGAAATATTCAACAACTGTCATGGGTTCTCCGAACTATGAAGTATCCTAGGAAACTATTTAAGAAAGGACATCTGGAAGCGACTAATGGAAGGAGCAAGGTGAAACCAAGATCACGTACCTGAAAAGGTTGCAAAGATTAGCATGCCTTTAGTGCTGAAGGGTGTGTTTTCTTACACACTGGGATGTTGATTTTTACCATAGCACATTTCAGCTAAACTTTTTGTACAATATGAAAAAAAACAGATGGATCTTGAAGAGTTATCAAGTAATCCAGCTATGTCATGAGTAGCTACTATTTTAGATGTGGACTAATTTTTGAATTAATACCTTTTACCTAGGATGCAGCTAAATTAAGTAACAAAATATATTTTAACTAATTTTCTCTTCAGTTATTTTAAGTAAACATTTCAGTACATTAAAATATTTTAATTGATTCTTTTTATTGACAAGGAACAAGACTGATTTTAGATTCTTGATTTGTACTTTAATCCACAGTGTAGATCTGTATGTTATGTCTTACTGAACAATAATAATTCATTAAAGCTTCCTGGAGGGCCTGATTGCAAAAGGAGGTATTCACAGGTCTTCTCCCAGACCCTTTTAGGCTTTATTGATTACTCCCTTCCCTAAATGCTGTACCACACACAGTCTGCCCCCAGAATTTCAGACTATGAATTGATTATCTCTTCTACTGTTCATTATTACTCCATGTCTCTTGCTTCACCAAGTTCTTTTGATGGCTACTATCAAACATTTTGTGTCATTTCCTCCTGGTTCAAGCCTCACCCCTCTCTGATTTTCCATAATGCTGCCAAAGTGAGTTGTATAAAAACTAAAGATCTTTATTCTTAACTGAACTCTGAGTAACTTTTCCTTTTTTTTTTTTACCTCTATGAAATGAATATAATCTTTTACAGTGATAATTAATCTTTACATGTTTTTCCTAAGTTATTACCATATTAGATCCTTTTGTCTTTTATATGAAAAAGAAAATTTGAACACATGCATACTTATTCTGTAGATAAATCAGTTTTAATATGAATGAAGATAGCAACCTAGTTATTTATATACTGAATTAAGCACATGTGACTTCTAATTCTTAACAATGAATCTTGTAAATAACAATTTGTTATCCATTTACTGCTGTTGTTGGAACTATGATTGTTGACTTCGTTAGAGAGAGAATAAAAGGATGTGGATTTAAAACACAAAAATAAATTTAGCAATAGAAAAGATAATTGATCCTATGCTCTATTTTAAAATTCAGTTTAAATTAGACATAGAGCCTTGGATGGGGTAGTGTTTGAATCACTCTGCAAAATGTTACATATATGAGTGCAGATTTCCTTAAGAAATGAAAAATCAGCCAGGTGTGTTGGCACGCGCCTGTGATCCCAGCACTTCAGGGAGACAGAGGCAGGCAGATTTCTGTGAGTTCGAGGCCAGCCTGGTTTGCGAGGTTGTACAGATAAACCCTGTCTCAAAAAACCAAAAAGAAAAAGAAAAATCTGTGTGCTCCAGTTACTCAACAACCATCTTTATGCATACTTCTTTAGTTACTGTTATAGTGCTATAAAGAGATGCCATGACTAAGGCCATTCTTGTAAAAGGGACGCTTAACTGGAGGGTTAGCCCATTACCATCATGACAGGGAGTGTGGATTAATGTGTGGCACAGGAACGGTAGCTGATAGCTACATCCTGATCTTCAGGCAGAGAGAAACTAGAACTGGCATGGGCTGGTTGAAACCTCCAATCCCATCCCCAGTGACACAATTCCTTCAACAAAGACACACTACTTGCCATTCCTAATCCTTCTAGTTTTTTTCAAACAGCTGCACTCCCTGATGACTAAACATTCAAGTATATGAGCATATAAGGGTCATTTTTTATATTAAATGCTTTTATTTACGTAATTATTATTTACAGTGCATAGCTCCCTTTAGAACAAGAAAGTTTACAAATGACAGTATTGTTGTGTCAAAGACTGCAAGCAAGGCAGCATATATGTTCACTTGCACTTAGAATAATATGGTAGTAAACAGAGGCTATTGTTGGTCCTCCTCCCAAGGGTCCAGCCCGTGGGTGAACACAGGGGGTTGAGAGGTGGAGTCATTACACGGACACTGGGAACTGGATTCAGAGGGCGAGTGGCTGCAGACTGACCTATTCCTGGAAGAGAGAGCACTGAATAGCTTTAGGTGACCAATCAGGTTCCTCCACACCATCTCAGAGCCTGCATTTGGTTGTTGGTCTCTGGGCAGGCTCCCCAATGTCAGGCCATGCACCCTCCACCTGACTACTTCAGCAGTCACATCAGCAGAAACTCACTCCAGGCCATGAGCCCCAATGGTCTCTTACTGAGAAGGCCTACAATCAGCAATTAGATTTTAAACCATAATTAGTCACCTGCTAAGATGTGAGTGATCAGGAGGAAAAAAAATCAAGAAAAGGTAAAACTTTTAATTATATCTCCTTGAAGATTCATAAAAAAAAAAATTTTTGTTGCAACATCTTTCCATCATCATAGATCTTTCTACCTAATAAGCTAAGCACACTGGTTATGTTGTTTCCCAACATTTTTTTTTTGAGGCTCTAACAATAGGACAGTTTATTGACTGACTCGATTCTTTATAAAATCAATGCATTTGTATTCTTTAGCCAATAAGTTACATCCTCCATAAAATTGATTTATTACAGTCAAACAAGAGGCAGAGGTTATAAAATAAATATTATATGGAGACAATAGTAGTTTAGGCACAGAAATAACCCAGGTAACATTTAAAAAATCTTTTCAGAACCTGATTTTTTTAATTAAAAAATTGTATTAAAATGGCAATGTTGATAACCTCCATGATTTTTTACATTAATCACATGAAACAGGTGCATACCTGTAAGCATGTCTAATTAATCACTCTTTTATAACAGATGTTAATCAATAAATTGTACTCTTAAGTTACAAGATGAGAAATGTGTTTGTAGCAAGTTTCAGTGAACTACCATCACTCTTAGACAGGGATTTGAAAACTGGCCACAGTTTTATCAATATACAAAGATGTAAATTACGTAGATTTAGAAATATTTTTCCTATTGACCATTTCATAATGTATTCAACACAGGTTTTTAAACATAGGCACATTTTAAAACTTCTGTGGCAAATGATTCATACATACAGACATCCAAACCTTCAGATAAGAAAAACCATCTCCCGGGGCTGGGAAAACTCAGCTGGTGAAGTGTGGCAGGACGTTTGATCACACTGAGAACCCTGAGATTGTGTGCTTTAATGGAAAAACCCAATACTAGTTGCAGTGTGGCATGGCCCTAGCACACACTTCAGTCTAAGAGCTTTTCTGCTTGAGCAGGATTAAGTGATGCCAACCATAGGTCAAGAGGCAGAGCAAGCAGCCAGTTGACAGGGAGTGAACATAGAAAAAAAAAAAAAAAACAGAATAAGAGGAAGAAAGAAAGACATAAAGAGGCGCACAGGTGGTAGAAGGGAGGGACATTCAGTTTGATAATTTTTTTGAGATGGAGTTGGGAAGGAGGTTTTATTTTCCTTTTGGGAAAGAAGGGCATCAGCTGAAGAGGAACATCAGCTGAGTGCTTTCTCTGCCTCTCTGAGCTAGCAGGCTTTCAACCCAGTCTTTAGTGGTAAAATTGAACAATTGAAATTTTGTTAAAAATAACAGTAAAGTTCTTGCTTAGCATGATGGAAGCCATGGGTTCTACTCCCGGCACAGCATAAAAATGGGCATGGCGGTACATTTCCATAATTTACGTGGGAGTGGAGACTTGATAGAGGAGCGTAAGTTGAAGAACGTCACCCTTATATGTAATTCAGGGCCAGTCAGGGACACATGACACCCCCTCTTGTGGAGAAATAAACACTGCAGCTTAGTGTGCAGATCCAAGTAAAGTGCATTTAACTATGTCTCTCCACTCGGAACCCTGCAGCTGCTGGCATGAACTAGCAGGGCTGAGCAGCTGCCACCAAAACCTTTTCTCTACAATTTTAAAAATATTTTGTGGAAAAATTTCTAACTCCCCAGATAATCTATCCATCTGTGAGGTTTTTCTAATAAGAATGTGTTGCGGGTAGTTCTTTTCTAACTGGGTATAGAATTCCCTTTTCAGGTGGTCTTAGAATATTGCACTTGACAGCACAATGTCAGGCCAGGATCATGAGAAAATCTTGGTGTGAAATATCTCAACTAAACGAGTTC